TAATTTTAGTTTGTCGTAAAAGATTGGGCATGCATCGATACATTCCTAGATAAAGTTCGTTAGAAGCGTCTGTCGTTGGACGTTGGTTCGTCTCATAAATTAAATTGTAGGTTAATTTACAGGGAGATAGACATTTCTTGAATGATACAACGATATAGGTGGTTCGTTTTGTAGGTTATGTTGTAGAGATGAATTTTTATTTTATATCATTGTACATTATAAAAAGAAAGCATATTATGGATGTCATTTGTCGTGTGGATCGTTTTGTGGTAAATCAGAATTCTCTCTAAATTATATTTGAAACGTTTATTTAGAACTTTGATCAAAGACCAAGGAAACTGCAGGAGATAACTACCATTATCCATGGACCAATTTTGTTCAAAACGTAATCAGATCTTACGACGAGCAGCTCTAACCTAAATATAAAGTATCATTGAAATCCATTCAGCCATAATCGTGTAAACAGGCATAAAACTCAACCAAACTACTATACCTGGGTAGGAGATGCGCGGTGTATCTTCTGCGCAGATATGGTAGTTGTGCTTCGTCGTTTCTCCGTCGACGGCACTGGTAGTAAGGAAAACAATTCCTTTTATTAACAACAGAACGTGTTTAGAGAGATTTCAAACGCGGTTGTTCCGTAAGAAAACTATTTTAAAAATTTGTCTCTTCCACGAAACTAATCTAAGAATCCCTATAACTTTCTAACTAACCTGTGCGTACCATCTGCATTCTCCATGCCCCTATCGGTAACAAGTGTTCCGCTCTATCAGTTTGGGGTTAGCGCGCTACATTTGGACAAAGTTACACGGAAATAAGATTATTACGGAAAATGCTGTCATTTCAACATCCACTTACCAACGAACGAAATTTCATTAAGGTATCTCGAAACGAAACGGTGCAGAGACGGTCCTGACTCCCCGAATCACGGGGTGAAAGGTAGCGAACAGGAAGTGTTATTTATTTTTCATCGGATCAAAGTAAACGCATTCTTCGGAATCGGAATGCCGAGACTTTCGACGCTTCCTATCCGCGCAACGCTTCTTCGAGCCCCATCCTACGCGGTATTTTTGTAATGCAAACGTCACGAAAGCGTCTCGCGTAAACTTGCACAGTCTAGAATGCATAATGTATCGGGATGCCTCTCACAAAAGTTGCCTTACGTGCCCGCCTCGCGCGGAGATCATCCGACAATTTGACATCTGCCATTGTCGCCACCACAATTGCTAGATGGCACTGTACCGCCGTAGACAGTCCGTTTTTCAACAATGAGGAAACCATTTACGATTATCATTTAAAATCGCACAATCGATTACGTCACGTCACATCGATCGAGGAAAATGTTTCTCGTTAAATTTTACTGTTCCTCTTATTCTATTATTATCATCGTCATTTTTATTACGCACGAATGCAGGTATAAACCTAACCTAACATTTGGCAATCTACGATACATTACGAGTTTCAAAAATATTAAAGTGTTTAAGGTTAATGGTAATGATTGGATGTTAGTGATAGTTGATATCGTTGGAAAGAAGGGTCGTGGAAGAAGTATTCGTTACTGGAACTTCTCAGCATCCATAGTCCGAAACGCTCGATCCCGATGGATCGGGATACGCAATTTAGCGTATAGCTGGCGTACCTTGGCGCACGACGCTCTTATGGTCAGTGTTCCTCGGTGGCTCGGTTCGAGTGCTGGGGCCTATCAGAGTGCGACTATGCCGCGCTTTATTGCTCTTATCCGGATAATATTAATTACTTATCTATGTCCCGTTTCTCGCGTCTTTTCGCGCTCGGTCGACGAGATCGATAGGCTAGGATATATTGAACACTTGCCGGCACTCGACGGGTTAGGTTATCCGACCTCTGTAGGGGGACAGCTACATTGCAGCTCATGCATAATACATACGATCCGACCTGGAGTAGATTTATATTTACCCGCACCCGGGATAATTCGTTAAATATCGACAGGCATTGCAGAGCCTTTTTCGCTGGGACGATGATTCGATAGGACGTTTTCCCTCGATTCCGTTTCGAGTATCCTTCCCGGCTGATCCGCGTCTCTATTTTTTTTTCTCTTTCCAATCTCTTCTTACCATTTTCTCTTTCGCCTCGTAATCTCTCGTTCGTCCGTTTCTCCTTCAATTTGCCCCTCTCACGGGTGGAACTTGATCGGCACGCCATTAATGGATAATATCTCGTTAGTCTTTTCCCTCTACTCGCGCGACGTTGACGTTGGACGATACACTCCGATCTTTTGTTGTCGTGTTATCCGATGTTCGGTCTGGGACGGTGGTTTGCGTTCTAATAATTTTCTAACGGCCGCCGGTTGGCTTCGTTGCGCGCCACGCTTTGCCCCAAGCTTTTCTTGTTTCGATCTTACGTTCGCTGCGTAATTTCATCGGGGCTTTCACGGCGGACGGATCCCACGGGAAACTTGGACGATACGCGCCCGACGATCGATCCTAGTCGAACGCGAATTTCGATCGCGACGCGGATTTTTTCCACATCAATTTTGAAATTAATTTTGAAACGTCCTGTACATCGTCGAGGAGTATTCTTGTTACTTTCTCGATAGAAAAATGTACGTTATCTCAGACTCGATTGATTCAAGAACTAGAATGTGGTTGTAAATTTTACGACACCATTTTTGAATCGTTCTGTATACGATAAAATAATGCTGAATATATTTTGATTGAAAAGTGTCTATTTTCGACCGAGAATAAATCTGTCGAGTAAATATCGACAGAATTTGAAATTTCAGGTTATTCAGGTTTCATAAAGACAAACATAGGACACGTGACAGTGCCATGGAAAAGGGTGCAACCCCTTCCTTCCCTCAAACAGTGTCAGTTGCCTCTGTGTCGGCAAACGAAAGACCTTAGACAAACAATTCCTTCATCCACACGGATAAACACGGCAACCCTATCTCCGTCAGGCGACATCTTATATCTAAGACTCGATGATACACCGTTTAAAACAATTGCAGAATCAGTTCCTTCACCCTTCTCATTCTCGATTAATTTTAGAACAATGTTAAAACATAGTTACACGTTGTAGATATTTGTATAAAATCTCAATTCCACTTAAAAACAATTATAGTCGCATACTGCCACCGAGAAGCATGATCGGTCCGTGAGCAGCCACGAACGTTCAGCCATCGTGTCAATTTCGATCATAAATTGGAAAATAGAATATTCGTTTCAAGCGTCGACCACAGCAGCAGGAAAACAATTTTCTCGCGCTGTCATTTCCCTGAAAACATCGCTATGATTTCTGTTTTCTAACAGAAGTATTCTGAAACGTAAATTGCTGTAGGAGTCCGAGTATTCGAAGGCTCGAGAGATTTTTAATGATCAATGATATTCAAATACTCGGGTGTTCGAATAACAATGTTCGAATTTTATTAGTTGTGTGTTTGAGTACCTATAAAACATTCGAGTCATAAAATTATTTTAATTGTTGCAACTCCAGTTATAATATGCGAAGCGTTGGTATTCGGGTCGTTTCAAATTCGGCATTTTCACCTTTGACTTTTACTCCAACTGTCCGTTGAATCGATGCGAATACGAAATGCTGTAGGACTGTAGATATTTGCACGTTTCCCCGTCTATGGAGCGGACATTCAGCCAAGATTCGCGAAACGATTTAAAATCAACAGGAATTGACGTGATCCGATAATTAATATTTAAAAAAAAAAAAAAAAAAACGTAATTGTATTTTAAAGTGTTTTAAATATTGAGCAATGAGACGATTTTATATTTAATATTTTTAGACCTATGCTGATCCTAGTACCTAACAAATGGTCGCCATATTTAAGATCTCCATATCTCAATATTTAAGTATTAATTTGTAAATTAATAATGTATCACTGGAATAATGGATTATTCGAGTCGGTTCGATTAATCGAGTTTAACTCGATTCACGTATCGAGTACAGGACTAATCGAAGCGTAACTGAAATAATTTTCGCCTTTTGATAAAATTCCACAGAAAATTTGGAAACACTTTTTAGATTTAAACCAGAATCAAAAGCCATCGACTTTGTCCCGTTGTTCGAACAATACACTCGTATCGGTCAGTTAGCGTAGACAGTCTGTAATACGATCGTTATTTTCATCCACCGATGTACACTTTGGGTAATGGAGCGGTACACTATAAAACGTTGGCTAGATTCTTTAACCGCATGTTATTTCTGGCCAGCGAAATATTAATAAAGTGTAAAGATGCCACATTTACGCGTGGCCATCTAAACTTTTTATGGATACAATTTACATTCACATTGACGCCATTCGATACAGTTTGCAGGTAGCGTTTATGAATGACTCGAAACATTTCTGTAATTGCTTCGTGACTGTTGATAACTTATTTGTTTCTTTACTAACGGGTTAGTACTCTTTAGTGTGCAAAACCAACGTAAAATATCCATAATATATTTCGCAACAGCGATCGAAGAGCAACGCGTCAAGAAAGCAAATTGAAATTAAGAAAGATTTTCTAACAAGCGTATAAAGTGGTTTCTGTACAGAGTCGTGCGGCGAGGTTGAATTAATGCAAATAATTGTGGTAATTTTATCGCGTGGCAAAAATTGATTGAAACGTTCAATCTCGTTGAACTCCCTTAATATTTTTATTCGCGCGCGCGCGCGCGAGACCGTGCTTTCAAATTGCGTGTACTTTTCCATTGCTTCGAATTTTTCTTCGCGTTCGGATCGTTTCGTTTCATTGAACCTTCGTGGAACGGTTTTCGTCTCGATCTGTCGACGATCAGAATTTTGACCAAACGTCTGCAGAGGCAACGAATTAATGCAAATAACGTTTGCAGAGATACGAACTAATTGACAGTTTCTATTATTGTTCGAAATCGAGAACAACGTCGTTCAACGCACGGTCGAAGCTGGAATGCCAGCGCGACCGTTCTGGCTGGAAGTGGCGCGCATGCGTCGCGCATCGAGCGTCACGCAATTGGCGAGGCGCTGTCTGACGTCGATCTCGGCATTAGCCAATCAGCGGTCGAGCCTCGTCGACGTTAGCTCGGCGTGCCGAGGCGAACTTCAGAGGCGAGGTGGACCGACTGGTATGTGCAACACGGCCAGCCCCCCTCCCTTCTCTCTTTCACTCTCTCGCTCTCTCGCTCTCTCGTTCCCGTGCTCTCCACGCGACTTCCTCAAATCTTTATTTCAGGCTCGACCGCGAACTGGTCGAGGCGCGCGGCCCGCTTTTTTACCGTCCGATACGACGCTTCTAAATTTGAATCTTCTACGGAGCAGTGCGAATCGACGGCTCGCCGCACGTGAAAAATATTTTAAGAAAGACGTGTGTTTCTAGTCATCGTTTCTAGTCAGCCAGGATATTCTAACCTAGCTAACCTGATTTCTGGTAAGCCGTGAATCCTGAAGAAATCGCTTCTACCCGCGATCGCATCGTGCCACGCTATAAACACAAGCGACGGCTACTTCGTGCGAGTGAACCGAAGAAGAAAAATACCGATAATCACCGATATCGAAGCAAAAAAAAAAAGAAGAGAAGACGAAGAGGACCCGAGATAAAAGCAGTTTTTCGTCGTTGTTCGTCGCTAACGAATCGTTTACGTGATTGGCTCTCGTCGATGTTTGACGAACCGATGAAATCCGGCGTGCGAAGTGACGCGTGTTGATTCTATCGCCAGAAACGAGTGCAAGTTGAGTCGTGCCAAAAAGCTCATGTGTTATTTCTACGTAACCGCTTTCGAAGAGAAGTTTTGTTTTGATCTTAAAATTGTACCTTTCTCGAGGGTGTTAGTGGGGAGATATCGATCGCGGGACCATTGACGTCCGTTCTGGAGAACGAGCTTTTCTCCTCGCTCCTTTGACTAGGCTAACCTCTCGATAATTGTATTTTCTCACTCATAGGTACATACCTATACATATATGTATATGTATATATATATATATATTCTACATACATAGCATGAGTGTATGTATTCATACACGTATATCCGTGACGCGTGCATGTCGTTTTGCGTGTACGTTCACGAATGAAAATTAGATGTTTTGCTGGCAAATGAAAAGGTTGAAAAACGTGCCTGTTACGAAGTAAACTGTTCTGTGACCAATGGAAGCTGTTCCTCGAATCTGTAGTTCAACGTTTGCCGAAAGGAAGTGGATCCGCAAATAAACATAAACCGTCGGAAGCCTTCGTGTAATCTAGCGTAATCGAAGAAGCACTCTGCGAAACTAGACATTTCGAGAGATATAGGAAAGTTTTATAGACGAGTAAACGTTTGTGGGATATATTAACGTCTAACGATCGAGTGCCTGAATACAATCCTTCGATTAAATTGTGGTAACAACATCTGTGAAGAGTACGTGATCTCGCCATCTTTGTTTTGATATCGATTCAGTGCGCGCAAGAAGATCGATCGATTGGAGAACGGACTGTCGAGATGTTCGACTGATCGAGCTCGTATCGAGTCGGTGAGTTATCGAATGCGATATTTTCTAATTAATTATGCGTCGCAACTGTTTAGAATTAAGTTAACATTACCAGAAACGCACAACTGCGTACAATATATACGAATTATCAAATAGATTGTTCTGGACTTCGGTATCAATTTTAAGACGTATTAATCGATTCGAATAATTCATAGGTATACGAATACAATTTGATGTATTTGTTTAATAACTCGGTATCACAGTCTTCTTCGACGTACAAAGTTCAGTTACTTAGGGTTAATCAAATAATTATGATTCTTCAAACGGATCGTAACGTTTAAGCAAACGTATTAACCTAAAATACGAAAATGTAAAATCGATAATCGATAGTCGTGTAAATAAATTTTTGTTTCTCGAACGTTTTCGTTGCAAATTAGAGATGGATCGATCGCGGGTCGAATCCACGAGCGATATCGAGATGACGTAGATCCGATTGTAGAGGAACAAGTGCCAAACGGTTTGGCAAAGTTCAACGTGTCATACTATATGCTAAATCCGCGCGACGAGCGCGGTTTAACTGTGATAAAGTCCGTCTTATCACCGCCCGTGTTGGCGCTCGTATCGAAATTGGTACATCGAATTAAAGTAGTCCGTCTGCGACTTGGCCCGAGTAACGTGTAACGTTTTCGAGCCCGGCGCCATTTAAATATCCCGCCACCGCAATTTATTTTAGTTTATTCGGCAAGGGGTTGATACCCTTTACGAAATTAAAATAAAATATACACAATACAGATTCAATACGTTTCAATACGAAAATCGAATACTAATAAATAACAATATATGGTCCTCCTGAACGACAATCGATAGTATAAATAAAGATACAATTATTTTCTCTTATTGACAGAGCTATGAAATTTCCAAGTGCATTGGTATTGTGTTTTCTAATATCAAATATTTTTTTATTTCTTACTCGGGGACCAAACACGCGGTGTAGATCTTGGGACGGGTGTACATTTTAAAAGGGTGGTTCCGTTTCTTTCGTCTTTAGATTCAAATTGTTATTTAACCAAGGTATATGGAGCAATAATAAATTGAGATTACGTAGAAATGTTTCGATGTGTATATTCAACGGGAAAAATGCGACGTGTAATAGAGAAATACACGCTGGTCGCTGACCCTCGCTTCGCGTTCTATGCTCCTGTATAATAAACCGAATTCGATCGTACGACAACTCTAGAGGCAAAAGCCCCCTTCCCCTCCCTCGCCCAGAGCTCTGCGTGTGTTTCTTCTACATATTATCACCAGCGAAGAAAGTACAAACCGATTCTGTTGCTTTCCTCCGTAAACCTTCTCTTTCATTCTGACGACACTCGTGGATAATAATCGCGTAGTTTCGTAATACGGGAAATATACGTCACGATTCGATTTACAAATATATTCCTTTATCTGGTATTAAGCCACTGTCCTTATTCTTCCGTCGATATTGCACTGCACTTTTAAACTTTTTTTTTCTCGATTAACGTACGAACGCGGAGTTAGCAAAGTCTCGAAACTTTTATGAACTATAATAATTTAGTATCTAAGCTTGTATAAAAACAAAACTACCTTTCGGTCGATGTACTCTTCGTTATGTCTATAAAATTAATTAACAACTATGAATTATAACGGTAAGAAGAGATGTTTTAAAATTGTTTCCAAAAGCGAATGGTTAATACTTGTATTCAGGGATTTCGAGTTTTCTTTGAGTTTAAGCTTTATTTTTTATTTAAATTTTAATTTCTAAAATTCTACAAATTTGTTAATCCTCCGTTTACTTTGTTCTCTATTACTTTTGTTGCTAAATATGGTTTTCCCTGTTTATCTGGCGACTATTTTGCCCGAGTTAACTGGGGCGCGGCAGTTAAATGATTAATGCAGTAGGAGTTTCATTAATATTAACTAAAGGGAAACATTCCATGTTTCTTTCGCGATTTTCTATAACTACCTATATTTTTACATACAGGGTGTTCAGCCACCCCCCGGGGAAAAATTTCAATGGGAGATTCTAGAGGCAAAAATAAGACGAAAATTAAAAATATTAATTTCTTGACTGAGGCTTCGTTAATAAGTTATTAAAAAATTTCAAACCATTTTGAAAAAATTATTTTTGGTCGCGGGGGTCGATTACAATCAGTTTTGGTGAATAGACATACCCCCGAAATTCTACGCACTTTCGAGAAAAAAATTCGTAGATGCAGAAATTTTTCGACGAAATTAGAAAATTTTAAATCATTCTGAAAAAATTATTTTTAGTTGCGGGGCTCAATTACAATCATTTTTGGTGAATAGACATACCCCCGAAATCCTACCCACTTTCTAGAAAAAAATTCGAAAACGTGATATTTTTCGATAAAGTTAAAAAATCTCAAATCGTTCTGGAAAAATTATTTTTGGCTACAGGGGTCGATTACAATTATTTTTGGTGAATAGACATACCCCCGAAATCCTACACACTTTTGAGAAAAAAAATTCAGTACGAGCGGAACTTTAAACGTTAATAACTTTTTAACAAAGCCTCCATCAACAAATTGGTATTCTTGATTTTCGTCTTATTTTGGCCTCTAGAATCTCCTATTAAAATTTTTCCCAGGGATAACAGAACACCCTGTATAATGATTAACCTGAAATTTTTTTTTTATTATTATTAAACGATAGAGGATATTCTGTTATCTGAGAATCTCCTAAATCGAACGGCCGTGTCTTCTTATTAGTTCTGGCAATTGAGGTTGTACCGTGGTTTCGTAGTTTGTGTAAACATTGGGGAAAAAAGTGACAACTGGATTTCAGAAACATTAATTTCCTCCGTAGGTAGCGAGACGTGACAATGTAAAGAGCATCGAATAATCTGATTGCTAGATCTCGATCAGTATTTGTCTGGTTGTCGTAACGTGTGAACCGAATCGCGTGTACGACGAACGACGATATTGAATCTTGTTGATCCGATCGCGAATGTCAACGGATTTGCGAGTGTGATATAATTACTATCGGTGACGGTGCAACATAATTTCGTGATACACAAGATAGGCGCGACAAAAATAACGTTTGCCCGTGAAACGCGCGTTAATTCATATAGCGAGAGATCGCGTGCTCGGAATGAATGAAAGGGGGTTCGGTAAATATAGTTGATGGTGCTTAGAATTAGAACGAAGTTAAAGCCAATGTTTTTACTAGAGCTCGTCCGCGGGCATTCGACCACTCGAATTTCGAGTAGAGTGAAAGCCGACTTATCGAATCGAACCGTGCACTCGACTGATACCAGCCGAGTGAAAGTGCTTTTTATCGAATCGAAGCTAATGGTAGGCGATTAGGGTAACTCGGAATTTTAATCGAACGAAGGTCGATATATCGAATCGAATACTCGATTGTTCGAGCCGAATAAACGTAGGACTTGGCGAATTGAATACTTTGGTTCATAATACTTCGCGCTGACCATTAGTTCCTGTATTATCGTGCATATAAAAATATAATTTAATCCATTTAGTCTTTAGCGAGTGGAATACAGAAATAAAATTGTTATTCGATTAATGGAATTAATATTGGATTTGAAAATCACTGTTTTATGAGTGTAGCAGATAAAGGGTTGCTCTGAGGATTTCATTGCAATCCCTTCGAGTCACATTACACCTAATTGCGTTGCAAAGGTAATTTGATTTTCCTACTCGTCTGTCGCTGACATTGCACTGATGAAACTATATCAGTGATCACTCCCGACGTACGCGTCCACTCTCGATGACGACAACGAGATGTCATTGTCGAAAGATCATAGGTGGTAACTCGTGCAACTCGAACCTGGAATCGAGTGAAATTCGATACATCGAATCGAATCACGATCATCGAACAACGTTTGATTTATCGAAACTAACAAAGCACGATGCATCGAATCGAATCGAGTAGCGAATTATCAATCGATTAATACGAATAAATATAATGCGACGCGATGTACGGGAATCTCTGGGAACAGAGAGGTTCACGTTTCCTCGTATAAATTTATTAACGAAGAAATTGTAAAGCCAAGTACCATGGAGTCGTGTTGGACGCTTTGTTATTTATATCTCAGATATATAAATCTACGTATAATCAAGCAGCATCTTGATTTATTCGGTATAGTGGCATCTGTTTTTAGGTCACTTTATGAAATCGTATCGCGTTCTGGACCCTTATCTTCGTATACTCTCCACCGTTATTTATTAATTGGTTAATTTAACGCGAGGAAAGCATCATTTGAACAACAATATCACGTATAAATGTTAAGAAAGAATACAAGGGCAGTGGTTTTATATTTTACGTTTTCTTAATAATATTTATATATTTTAAATCATTTTTCAAGTAGCAGAGCAACTGCAAAAGTTTTCCACGAATATATTCTGATACCGAAGGATGTATGAATCTCTTCCATTTTCGTTTCAAGTATCTATAAATCCGGTAGTTACGAGAACTAGTTGAGTGTTGCTCGGATAATTTAAATAAAAAGTTTTGCTAACTCGTTGACTACTTTTTCCAATCGTTGCCGTTAATTGCCTCGAAGATACCTAGTGCAACGTAATTCGATGTGCCTGTACACTTTGAAGGAAAACTCGCACGACAAAGTCGATTATTACGTACGTTAATTATCGACGATAAAATGGAAAGCGATCGACCGTTTATTACGCGCTTGCGTTGTACTAATTGCAATAACATCGTAATTATTTACTTCCGCCTTATGCTTCCCCGATTTCGTCGGAACGACCAAATTAGATTGCTTTATAGGTACTTTGCAAGAGTGGCCGTGTTGTTTATCGTATTTTCGTAGACAAAGTAGAATTTCAGGGCGTTGGGAATCGAAAAAGAAATTTTGGCTCGTTTGACGAAGTTTCTTTTTAAAATTAATATGCCCCCATCCACGAACGTGACGAATGGCTGGGGTTTTCATTCAACCATTTTCTCGAACGCACCAAGGTCTCAATTTTATATAGATTTGAATTTTTATAGCATTGTATTTTCCATCAGAACGTAAAGAACGACTAAACAAAATTTTATTTGAGTCGGATAAAACTGGTACGAGCCACAGAGATTTTACAAACGCGCAGATTTCAAATTAAAAAATCTCCAAGAAAGACCAATTGAAAGCAGCGTCTTTTAGACTACGCACAAGCAAAAGAAATTGTAGATTGTCGTAGAAATTATCGAGAAAGTTAAACCTGTCCAAGAAATCCACTTTGAGAAAAGGAGGCACAAAGGACAGCAAAGGAGTATTTCCAGTAACTGAAACTTGTGAAACAAACTTCGTAATACTGCAAGAACTTAACCAAAGGTTATAAATGTCTTCCTAACTTCGCAGAACTGGAAAACGTAACCAAAGGTTATAAATATCTTTCTACCGTCAACTTTTCTTCCATTTTTTTTTTCTAGTCCTTTTATAGTATCTCCTGGCTTCTTTCATCTATTTTTTGCTAGCCAGCACGCCGTTTCTCGTTATTAACGAATTGCTGATAATTCGATCCTAAGGTTAACGCTTCGATAAAGCGATGCTAGTCGTAGGTCGGTGCATCGAGTCGTGCCTGAGAAAAAACTGCATCGACGGTGGTTATCGCCATTATCGATTTGCATAATCGGTCGAAAAGTAGCCACGTTTAACGGAGCTCGAAATTCCATGAGAAATCAGGCGAAACGTTATCGCCGCGAGTCGATTGGAATTAATGAAAATTGACTCATTGGCCTTATCTGGTCGACGGTGTGTGGGTAACGAAGAACAGAGATAGGAACCTTTTTCTTTCATCTCGCGGTGTTGCTTATCGCCTATCGTCTCTCGTAATACCGAAACCACGAGCCGGCCGTTACGTCAGGCCAATTAATTTATTCTGCCTTCGTTGCTCGACGAACGAGCTCCACTATGCCAGGAATTAGGAAAAAGAAGGCGATACCGAGGTCCCGACTAATTGACTACAGTAACCGTCGCCTTCTATCGCGTCCGCGCAACTTACAACAGAGGGAAACACAAAATAAATATTGATAACGGCCACGATTACGATCGAACGTAGAATTTTTGTGCCCCTAATCTGTCGATCGGGGGAATTTATTTGTTACGTACGATTCACTTTGACTGTACGTGTATCGTAATTTTGTATACGTTGATAATTGAGATTAACTTTACACGCACCGAACCTTTACGTAATTACGCTGTTACTTTGGTATCACGTGTACACTTTCTTACAATTTGCGTAACAACAACGTGTAACGATAGTAATAATACTGGCAACACCAACAACAACATCAGTAGCAATGATAAATTACATGTTCAGATCCTCGTGAAAACAAAAAAATAATAATAATTCAATCTGGAAAATTGCCAAGATCTCTGTCCAAGAAATTGCAACAATTTCTGTTTTGAAAGATTGTCATAATTGTTGCCGGAGAAGCTGTTGCAATTTATTTGTGACAATTTTTGCTTAAAACGTTGCTCGAGGTCTCCGCCCGATAAATGATGAAAATCTTTATCCGACACAAGTTGTCGCAATTATCCCCACCGTTTCCTGGAGCAGCTCGCGCCATAATCGAACCACAAGTCAAACCAGGTCGACCTCCGGAGTCGGCGACAACTTCTCAGGCAGCATAATATTTGGGAATTGTACGACGCCCCGCGGATCGCGCGGGAATTCTATCAATTGAATGGAAAAAAAAAAAAAGAAAAAAGTAGTACTCGCTTAGACGGTTCGAATGGAATACGGCCTCCCGGCAGCTGTTGTTTTCCATCGAATTTAACGCATCGTCGAAGTTGGTTGACTCGTTTACTTCGCGACATCAATCGATACGCGGAAAGCGACACGTGCTTTATACTCGCCGCTAGGTTTTAACGCATGGTCCAGTTCTGTCGAGCGCGTTGCGAACTCCTGCTAACAGCTTTCTATGGTCCCGTCCTTTTTGTGTCAGGATAGTTAAATCACGCGTCCTTTTGTTCCTCGACGTGCCGCGCAAAAGTTGCTCGATTCAGCCGCAACGGCAATATTAAAAGTTTACATTTTATCAAGTCGTACGTTTTAGCGACCCAAACGCCTGTTTTCCTTTCCTCCATTTAAAATTGAAATTAAGTTTCCCCCATAACCTCACCTTTTCTTTTTTCGTACGGTATCGAACGTTTCGGTTCAACGGATCGACTCTTCTTGGTCTTCCAAGTATACAAATACTAGCGAGGATGTTTGAAAAATGAATATATTTAGAAATATTTTAAACAAAAATACACTTAAGGTACTACATTTGCTTCACTAAGAACCTTAGTTGCACGAAGATGGCGCTAAAGATGTATGCGCCGATCGGGGTACCCGTATCAGTAAGCGTGCAAGTATCGAGGTTCGACCGTATCTCGTGAATTATTCGTTTTTCGAACACCTTCCTTTCTGCTCGAAATGTTTGGAATAACGATGCATTTTCGTTTCTATGTTTCAGTGTTTTTAATATTCCATCCAGTGGTTCCGAAGAGCTGTCCCTTCTCCACAACGCCGTGCAACAATGGGTCGGAAGAAGATTCAAATTTCGCGCATCACGGACGAACGGAATCGTCAGGTATTCTTCGCAAATGTTTATTTGTAATTAATGAAATTTAAACGAAATTATCTTACTATTCATTTTTTTTATTTTACACAAATCAATAATTTATTTAATATTATTTTTAATATCGCGATGCTCCAACGTTTTTCCATTATTTAAAAAAAGAAAATTAAGCTGGAAAATGTGAAACACCTCCTGAAGTATTAAGTTTCGCGCAGTCTCTGACCCAGATATTAGAATCACCCTGTATAACCGCGGTATGTAAACGGAATTGTTGGCGTGCGCCTGCAGGTGACCTTCAACAAAAGGAAATTCGGGGTGATGAAGAAAGCATACGAGCTGTCGGTGCTCTGCGACTGTGAGATCGCCCTGATTATCTTCAGTTCGAGTAACAAGTTGTATCAATATGCGAGCACTGACATGGACAAGGTTCTTCTCAAGTACACCGAGTACAACGAACCCCACGAGTCCCTCACCAACAAGAATATCATCGAGGTGAGCCGATTTCTCCTCAGTAATTGTCAAGGTTCCCAGGAAACCGCAGAATTCGCCACCGAAAATCGTAACGTCGATTACGAATACGATTTAAAAGAGAATTAAAAAAATGTTAACCCTCTATTGCACTGTTTTCCAAAACAGTAAACGTGACTCTTTAGGGTGTCAAACGATGCAACTCAAAGGAGGACACGAAAGGAATTTTTTTTATTATGAATATTTATTATTTGCAATTTTAATACTTGGCTCCATATTATCATGTTTGAAGTAATTGAAAAGGCAACAGTACACTTGCATAATATTTTTATTTGTAGGAGGATCTCAGCTCCTTTCGTTTATCAAAATTTTTCAATATTTTCGCTCATTGGGACATTAAACAGCTCTCTGCACGTTCAACCATTTATTGTACAATTTAGGTGTTAATTATCAGTAACGATAATAATAACAAATGAAATTCAATTGAATATCAGTTATCATAGTACAAAATTAAATTCGAAGATATAAAATAGCCAAAAAATAATATATTTTGTAAACGCGAAATAAAATTCATGCAATAGAGGGTTAACGCGTTCCTTCGATCGTTTTCAAAGCACGATTCGCGCATGCCCAACGAGCTGGCGTACCTGCGATGTCAGCCGGAAGGTGTATACCATCGTATACCGGTTAAATGAGAGATTTCACAGTGAAAAATTACTCGATCCCCCGATATTCTCGTATCATCACTGGTTATTAACTTTTTCAGTTGTCGATGATCGAAATTACACGAGGCTGCGCAGCAAATCTACACGTGTATAAGGTACTTCCTGCGCGCCAGTTTTTCGCGCGGTTCCGCCGTGGTTTATAGCTTGTACAGGGTGTAAAAAAAGTAATAGCAACGGCTTCCTGGGGTGACCATTAATTACAATTAGTTATCGACAAGTTTGGATCGGTGGAAATCTTGTTAAAGCTTTCTACCATAAAATTTATTTCGACCTTGGGTATTAAGGTCAAATTTGTTTTATTGTTGCTACGTGTTTCATTCGACGAGACGTTAAAAAAAATTTCGAAAGAATGCAAGAGAAGTTTTTAGATCTCTAAATCTACTCGATGATAGCAGATAATGCATTATCGAAAGTTCTATAAATGTTGCTTTGCAATTTTATGGTAAATGAAAAATTCAGAAACGCGCGGAAATGTCTCGATACGAAACTTTGTATTCGCTCGCCACTTGCTGGTGTCTACCTTGTTGGTATTGAACCAGTGAATTTTTAACGGACCACCCTGTACGTGCAAAGTACGCGTTGCATCTCGAAGCACATTCGAATTTTTCACTGTGAATCGCTCAGAAATCGTTTTCGAACGATCAAGGGAACACGATCACGCCGAGCGGCTCGACGATAATGCGGTAGAAATTGATCGCGCGAATCGGTTAAACTAAGTCCCGTCGCAATATTTATGTTACCACGGTGAGTAGAGGTAAAAAACTGAAAAATAAAGGAAGAAACGGCAAAGCGTATCTCCTATTATCGTGCGTACAGGATGAACTTCTCAACGATGTTCGAGCCTTTATCGTACGCGTACGCAGAAAAGGAATGGAAAGCGATTGTAATCGAATCCGAAGCGGTTCGTATTCCACGCTGCTCAAAATAATTAGAGGATCGTTTACCAGAACGACTATGTCGCTCGAGAAGTAATGAAACGATCGTTCGTTGAAGAGACCAGGGGGGGGGGAGGGGAGAGAAAATTAAGATAATTACAGCAGCTGTTCGCATGTTTGCAGATACGAGAATTATTAATAGAGATAATAGAATCAAAGACTAGTGATAATAGTTAATAGAGTGATAATAGAATCAGTGAGGTCGTATCTTGAAAAAGGCCTTAGAAAACTAGCAGTTAAAGATGCAGCGTAGAATTTAATCAAATTCTAATTGCTGATGTTAGGCTGGGTTTTAATCCAGGTGTTTTAGCAACGCTTCGGGTTTTAACGACAGTATTTTATTTTTATATTTATGTAAGAAGGTACTGTACATGTTTTTCCCGATAAAAATGAATACAGGCAAGATACTATTCGGTTAAAAATTTTGTTATCGTGAAATTGAAAATTTTTTAAAACGAACATTTTCGGTATTAGAAATGAATTAGCGAGGTCCCCACGATGAAAATGAGTCCAAACACGACACCATTCGGACTATTTTTAATTATACGTTGTCAAAGAGTTTTTCAAAAAATATTCAAATTATGTATAATTACAGTTGGTCCGAATGTGGTCGTGTTTGGACTCGTTTTCATCGGGAGGGCTTCGTCAATTCATATATAACACTCTTATCGTCTAATCCTTTATTTTTATTTCGTTTTTATTCCGGAAATAATCCATAAAAATTATGTGGTAAGAAAGGTTTGGTAAACGCTGCGACCGAGGGTACGCAAAGATCACTGGGACCACGAACGTCGTGGTACAGATCAGAGTTGTAATCGGTTAACCGAGTTACGAGATTTTCGCGTACGCGCGGAACGCACGTGCGAATGATAAAGTACACAAACGGTCTTGCGACGAGCGAAAACGCGGGATTAGAGGCTAGTCTTCACTGTTAGCGTTAAATTAACATGCATGCGAAGGTTGAGTGCCCTCGGGCGGTGTGGTCACGTGAACCTGTCTGCTGACACTTGCAGGCACTCAACAAGAAGGAACATAAGGGTGCCATGTCTCCAGAAAGTCCCGAGCCCGATGCGATCGAATACAATCTCACTCCGCGTACCGAAGCCAAATACACGAAGATTGACGAGGAGTTTCAGCTGATGATGCAGAGGCACCAACATAACGGTACTCGGGTAAGTATCTAAACCATATCCCCTACTTCGTCGAAAAGTTCTCCTTCGAATTCTTTCGTTTGCAACTGCTCCTAATGGGGCAGCCATCTTGGAAATTCCGAAGTTCTCCCAAAATTTGGGTCGGGATATAGTTCTTCACCATTCGTTCTCCCTCGTGTTCAACAGTGGCTCGAATGTCTTCTAAACTGTAATAACAGAGTGTTTTATAAAACGTGGACACGAGAGATAAATCCAATATAAAAAAGTAATAAAGCAGTCGAGTAAACACTTGTCCCGTTTAACCTTATTTCCCAGTCACATCGTTTCAATGTTATTGTGTCGCATCCTTGTACAGGAAGCGACGTTAGAAATTCTCAATACCACTCTCGATAAGAGAACGGATTGATATGATTCATCAAACATTATGAAAGTGTTTACAAATTGTCAATATCACCATGAGATTACACAGTTACATTGTCAGTCTGAAATGGAGAGTTTGTTGAAGCGGTCGGGACGATTGCAACTCGGAATACAGATCGAATGGCATGAGTGTTTGTATTAGGGCTGGGATTATTCCAATATTTAGGTATCGGAGTATTTTTGCATCGGTGTCGCTTACCGTGTTTCACTTCTCGAGTATTATTATCGAATATTTCTATTTGCGTATGACTTTTTCGAATATTAGTATTATATTATCGAATCATTGGGAACTGGAAAGAGCACAAAAACGTCGGAACAGCCGAGCGAAAATGTCCAACTTGGAAAACTGTCGTAGAAAATTTATCGCCCACCGATGGTTGGCACGCTTCACTTTGGGAACCTTTGGTCCAGAGTTTTCACATGACTTGACTGCGATTCGTTAGTCCTCGTGGTTACATTTATTAGCTTTTAACGGGCCTCTATCAGACGTCATCGGACGCACAATTTGTCACCGACAGAACTCGATTTAATTTGCGCCCGTTTATTATCCTAACCTAAACAGCAAATTTACCTAACATTCGCTCGCTCTCCTGCTAGTTGAAACCATCTAGCAATATGGCGTTGTTTGAAATTAAATCCGGCTTCTGTTTCACGAGTCGATCAATTACGATTCGCCTCGTTATCAGTTTCAATTACGACATCTAAAAAATGAATACTTTACAAAGGAAACGTGTGTCGTGTTGTATATCACCTTTACGATTCCCTTGTTACGTGTACGATAACAAGAGACGATCTTATCAATTCTTCTAATTAATTGCTAACCTATCGTTTATAATCTGTATTAATGACGTCGTCGTTGATTTGCTACGATTTCAGGCAATGGGACAATCTAATTACGCTCTACCTGTATCCGTACCAGTGAATAGTTATGGCGAATCTCTACTTGGATCTAGTCCTCAAATGGCACACACCAGCATTTCTCCACGACCGTCGTCTTCTGAAACAGACTCAGGTACGGTGCAAGATAAACATCGTTTCTACATTCTCATGGGCTCATAAACAAGATACGATTTACTCTTTTAGATGAATAGCTCTAATACATCGATACACCGTGCAAGTGTGCATAACTTTGTTGAAAGTACCATTTAACGGACATTGATGTCGAGCAAAGATTCGAAAGATCTTTTTCATATTTTAATGGACTTGTAAAAAGACGCAACGCATTTTCTATTTTACTAAATTAATACGTCTGCTCTAATGGATATACCGTGCAAATGTATCCACGTAAAGTATTCAAAATTACCGGTTAGACTTGAGGAAAAGAAAATCTATTTATGGCCCGATGAAAGGATTTTTTATGTACATCTTCTTTGGACGATAGATATAAATTGTCGTTGTTTTGTTTTAGTGTATCCACCAGGAGGGATGTTGGAGATGAGCAACGGATACCCTCCATCGGCATCGCCATTGGGAGGTTCACCTAGTCCAGGACCTTCGCCGGCGCTAGGAGTCGGAGGAGGCAGTGGGAATAAAGGCAGCAATCCGTCTAGGCATTCGCCACAACCTCCGCCTCCACCTCCGCCACCTCATCCTCACAGGACTAATCTTCGAGTAGTTATTCCAACACCCCTTACGCAGCCTCTTTCCGAAGACACTAGTTATGATGTGAGTTGTATTATCATCGCCGAACAAACATTATTACCATGTGTATCGTGTCCCACCTTCCTCGACATACTTACCCATCGCCCAGAAATTTGGAGCCACTTAAATCTTGTTGCCCAGGGCTTCAAAAGGCTCTGAAAGTAATTGTTTCAAACCGTTATATCAAAGTTCTGATCTAAACTGTTACAAAACAGTCTTTTAGGTATTAGAAAATCTCTATTCTTAGTCTGTGTTTTAGAAAAATTAGAGCCAATATTTTAATTTAACTGGGACTCGTAACAGGAACTGGAATTGCTTAGATAAAGAATTTATATTTGCTGTTGACCTTGTGCAATAGATTGTAGTGTATGCGTGTGTATTTTTGAACAATATTTCCTAAACAGCGATAAAACGTTTTATTTTAAGTCATCGTGTTTTCTTTTTCATTTTTCTCACGATATACAGGGCGGCCATTCACAAGCCACATTGAATACACCGGTAGTAGCACTACAAACGCCATCAGTTCCAGCCGGGTACTCTAGCTTTGGACCAACGGATTATTCCTCGGACCTTGGGAGTCTAGCATGGTCTCATCAGAGGTACGTTGATGACTTATCAATGTATTCGGCAGCCACCATGTCCAGCATCAGGTAAATCATATTTCATACTTATTGTTGTGAAAGAAAACTATACATCCAGATGATATGGTCTATCAACCTTGGAAGGTTTTTTTTTTTTAAACTCCATTTTCTCTAACGAGTAATATATTTACAGTATCGAGTTCAATATCGTTATTATATTAATCAATGTCTGCTGGAGCTTTCATAGTTTTTTTTCCCTGTTTGGATTGTCGTTTGTAGCATGCCAAGTGAATCATATCAATATTCTTAACGTAGTTCGATATTCATCGCGTGTCTGAACTGACGTTTGTATTCATCAGTTTTTCTTGCTCTCGTGAATCGGTTATTAGGTGTAGAATAATTACATAGCCCTCGAGTTACTATAATCAGTTACGTATCGAAGAGTCTAAGCGATTTAGGCATTTAGGTATCTCCACGAATTTTTATACAAAAAATTGAACGCGTAACTCCTTTAAGTAAATCTCGAAGTTTACGTAACCAACGTTCAGCGGGGCCAAATTAAACAGTACTTTTGGGTCGCATCGAATTACGTTTTGTTTGCGTGTCAAGAGGTTAACAACACAAACGTATGTTTGGAATCGAATTAACAGAATGTTCTATATCGACGATGTCGTCTGGTTTCAGTGGTCTTCCTCATCTAGCCGTGTCGAGTAGTACACCGCCGCCAGCCACATCTCCCTTACCAGTGAAAATAAAGAGCGAGCCGATCAGTCCGCCCAGAGATCCGCTCGGTGGCAGCAGTGGGTCCAACAGTAGCGGGCCCACAACTACCAGCAATCTTCATCACACGACTCTGAACGTTGGACCGTCGTCCAGTACCGGTGCACCGCCTCCACATCATGTACCTCATCCTGGTCCGCAATCGTTGAATCTTGTGTCGAGCAGACCGAGCAGTAATCCACCGCCGTCTCATTCCGGGAGCATAACGCCGACGAATTTACCATCGCCGGGTAGCGGCTCGGTGGCGGACATCAGAACGAGCCACTCCGGCGGAAACGGAGGGAATAACTCAGACTATGAGAACGGGCCGCTGATGAAGCGTTCCAGAATCACCGAGGGCTGGGCGACTTAATGTTAACCATACATGGTCACGCTCGGTCGTTTCATAACCTCTACGTACAACGGCGTATAGTGCTTGTGAAGTTCCAGGACTCGGAAGTTTGTAGAAGAACTCGTTTACACGTTTGGCCCACACGGTTTGGTGCGCGCGTGAGAACGATCGTGTCGCGGGTTCCGATTTGGGGTTGATTGGAAATAGAAATTTGTTTATATTTTGAAGCCCACAGAAAATGCGTTTGTTTGACGATTAAATACGGTGCCATAATGTTGAAGCGTTACACGTATATATATATATATATATATTATATTATATATATGCGATGGATACATACATATATATATATATATATATTTTCATGTATATAATATGAAGTTGTTTGTATATATGTCATTAATTCATTGTCATTTTCTTCGTGATATGGCATTGGCGTCTTTGATACTTGTCGCTACGACGAGGTTATTCCTTTGGAACAGAAGGGAACGAGGAATCGGTGCGTGTTTAAAAAAGAAAAAGAAATTTGGATCAATCCAGGAGCCAGGAGCGTTTCGGGATCAGACCTGGGAGAATTTTATTTCAAACGAAAGTGAGAAGTAATTATTTCAAATAACATTTCCGTCTCTTGTTTCGCGCAAGCAAATTTTTTGACCATGATTACAAGATATTTGTCTTCGAAATTGTTATGTTATTTCACGCGATTAGAGAACGCGATCGTATTAGAAAAATTACACGATTACGAAAATAAGATAACGTGTTATTTAAAATATTATTTCAAAATTGCCCAGGTCTGTTCGGAAATAGGTGCATCGACGACCGAATTTCTTCAAAGAGCTTGCGAACGTCTATGATTTACGGTAAGGATATACCAGTAATTGTACTTTGTTACTTGTTTTTTTTTTTTTTGTGCGTTATGGTAGGTAGACGAGTCCGCGGCATAATCCGTTAATTGATGTTTTACAAAGTAATGCTGGAAGCAATGAACATAATTTTTCTTTTTAATTGAACGCCTAGTCAGAGAATAATGATATTCGATTTTAGCGGTAGAAATTTTATCCTACAATGTAAATTGCAATATTTCTTTCCTTTTGCTTAAGAACCGTACTCTTTTTCTTTTAGACGATTCGATGGATCGTGAAACATTTAATGTAAAAGATTATACACGTATCGTAGATGATCTGATATTCGTTTAAACGATTCGTTAAGTGACAGTCGGTTTGTTTTTAAATAGTGGAGTCTTTCTTAGCGAACTAATTAACGGTCTATGCCCGCTAATGAAACGATAAATGATAAATCGGCTGCTGTACTCAAAATAATTACGATATTCTGTAGAACACGATCGGAAATTAATATATTGATTATTACGAGGTAATAGACGAGATATATGCATATTATATGTGAAATAAGCATATTATATAGTGTTGATTATTAAAAAAAGGTATATACACGCAAACTCGCATATGTATACATACATACGTTATATACATTTTCTACAAGTATTTTGCACATTTGATATGAAAGAAGAAATAAGACGTAACACAAAGGAAGAAAACTTGCAACCCTCAAAGCCTAAATCGTGCACAACGAGAGCTTGTCCTCGCAACCGTATAACTTCGAACAATAGCGTCGATGAAGCTACGATTAAATGATTCGTTCGAACAGATTTATAATTTTAACGATTTAAATGAACACAGAGAAACAACACACACGCGGTTCATCTCGTAACGATGTACAGAGAAAATCCACAACACTTTGGCAAGACGGGGTTGCAATTGTAAAATACAGAGTTTGTCTTCTTCCTGGTTAAACTGCTTCGGAATGGTCTCAGCCTATGCTTCACTCAATCTCAGGATATATCCTGGTCTGAGCTGCTCTCAAGAGTCGTATTTGGTACATTACTGTAATTAACGTAATTAATGGAATACACAAACGGTATATGAATAAATAGTGCCTGGCACCATTTGTGGCCCTCCTTTCGGGTGACTTGCCCACGTTGTCTGCACAAGATAACTCGTCGATGAGTTACGTGTAAGAAAAAGTGTGTGTATCGTTAGCGAGATACGGGGGAAAAAAAAGAGGATCAAAGGATACATGGTATGGGTAAAGAGGGCGGGTGATGGGGGATATCAAGTTTATTGTACCTACATTACCGTTAGATGGAATCGTAGACTTTGTTTTACAACGTTCTCTCGACGAACCGACAACCTGGGAAGTCAGTCTTTATTATATTGTAACCGAAGATTATATATATATATACGTACGTTAAACAAAAGAAAGAAGACTCGTATAATCTTCGATATTAACTTGTTCTTTACTAACGTATATTAGAAACGTATCTGATGACTGTACGAACAATCGGTGTGCGAAACATAAGATATAATGTATAGTCACTAATAATTAATCACAAATTTTTAAGATGATCACAAAGTGCAATCTCTTAGCCAACACACTTTTTTATCAAAGAAAAAAAAAGTATAAAGAAATTGTTATTTTTCATAACGAAAAAAAGTAAGATTTAATGTATTAAAAAAGTATATATACATATATATATATATATACATATATATATATATATAGATATATATGTCTCCACTAGTTATTAAACATTTTCCTATTGACACAAAATTTATTGTATTTGAACTAATATATAATATGTATATGTCGATGTATATATATCTATAACAGATATATATATATATACATACATATATATATATTTATATATATATATATATCTTTCTGAATGTAAGTGTACATGCCTGAATTAAATCCTTGAAAGATAATCTGCGATGCTTTGCATTGGTTCCAGATACTTCATTAGCAACAGGTGGATCGTTGAATAATATAATTATCATTAATTATATTATTAATCACCTAATATTGTACGACCATTTCTCGGTAGAGTTTCGGAATTACTATTATGTGCTTCATTGTTTTGTATAACTACATGCTGTTTGCACAAAGTTTTACATTTTCGTAAACCGTACCAATTGAAAAACCGAATACTACTTGAAATCTTGCAAACTTTCGATTCGAAGTATGCAAATATATTCAAACGGAAAGTTTTGGCACAAGTTAATCTCCGATGTACTCCAAATACACTGCCAGTTATAAGTTTGAGAACACCGCTTGCGAATGAAAAATTGATCAGTTCATGGAAATTCAATAAATTGTACACAGGATTTCTCGTACGTCTCGGAAAGAAGCAAAAACAATACCATTTCGTAGCATATCGTTTGAGAATTAGAACTAATTGCTTTTTATGTTCTAAAGTTTAAAGAACCGATAGCGTGTATCGTTTCAAGCTTACCACCCAACGTTGAATAGATGTACAATTTTATCACAGTCGATGCACAACATCCAAAATTAACTATCAATCGTGTCCATTCGTTTGTACATTATTATGGAGCATATAATACTGTTTCGCAATGAACATTGCTGTTTCGTTTAATCGCATTTAGACGTAGTTTGTACGTGAAACTGTCTTGGGAGAAGTTGTTGACACGATCCACCGGTTATGCGAAAGGCACAGGGCAAGGATTACATTTGCTTACCGATCTATTTTAATGTAAGACACGAGAAATAAAAAAAAATACGTAGTGATACCTCTAAAGGTAGGGGACTTGTTAAATGGTGTACGTTAACAATACATTGTACGTACATTTTAATGTATATTTTTAATATGAAGTATGCGTAAGTTACACACACGTGAGAGCAAATTTGATGTGTATCTCTCTTGTTCGGCACAACCGAGTTCAATATTTAGGAAAGAAAGGAAACGAAGGGGCAGAAAACTTAAAGAACATATCTCCATAGGCAAAAGATGATTGAAATTTCGTGCATCTTTATGATTCCCGTGAAATGTTTCATAAAACCCAGTGTTAGTAATACGAGCATGTTGCTGGTCTTAATAAATAATGTTAATTAGATGCTATTTTATCTATTTATTGATGGTTATGCGTTTCTCGACTCGCTATAGGAATGCAATATAGGAGTTTTATCGAGTGCACATATTGGATTATTCTTTAAGTTTGCAAGAAATTTGTGCGACGTGAGTCGAATGAGGTAAATCAATTTTACGTTCATTCCGGCGAGATTGACCACACGGTTGTGCCTCCCAAGAACTTTTAACGAAATATTCAATACGTAAAGCGAATGGCGATTATCGTAGTTGAAACTCAGAGACTATTGAAGTTGTTGGAACGCTGTGAATGAAATGGACCATCGTTAGAAAATGTTGTCGTATGCATAAAGTAATACGGAAATACGTAGAAACAGGTAGAGCTTTTGTACGGGAGCAAAGTTGTTTGGTAAGACCGTTATTGGACATTTTTATTGGGCATGTGCGAATTATTAACGGATACTCGTTTCGATTTTTCTTCCTTCTCCTCATTTCCCCCGTCTCTCTCTCTCTCTCTCTCTCTCTCGTCTTCTTTGATACTTAACCTTCGTGCAGAGAACTCTTTGGCGGGGTTCGCAGAATACTCGAGAATTTCGGATGATTTCAAATATTCGAATTTTAATGTGATTTTATAATAAATGTTAATCGAACTTTGAATAAGTTTTTTTATACTCCGAGGTATCTAACTATTCGACGTTTACTCGTATACTCGAATAATTTCAAAATTTCGCTATTATAAAATATAGTAAATACATTATATAAAAAGGGAACGGAAATTTTGTAAATATAGAAACGATTGCGAGCGTCGCAAGTGTTTAGTTGACAAAGTTAATCGATTCATTGACCTTTTGTGCCTTTGAAACAAATTTGTAATCTCTTGGGAATCAATATTTTTAAACAGTTTTTACGTTTTGAACATTTGTCGATTAATTCCGAGTGAAAAAGCGTGAACTAGGAATACTTACTGGCTTCGTAACTTACAATTAGATATCGATGAATAGGAGGTAAGAATTTTCAATGGATGTTAAATCAACGATTATAATTTATATATTTTGTTCGTTAATGGGAGCAAATCGAGAAATGTGTTTGAAAAAATTTGTTTACGATATTTCGAAAATAGGGAGAATTATACCTCCTAGCTTGGTAGAAGAATAGTTTGTATTAGACTGGAATATGAATATTTTTTCTAAAAGTAATAAATTTAATTTATAAAATGTGACGATTTCCTTATTTTATCATGAACACGGTAAACAAAGAAAAAAAAATGAAAAAATTATGTAAAAAAAGTAGAATATGTTTCGAATCGTTCGGAACGTCCGATTTCTCAAACTTCTTTTTCGTTCGTCTAAAAAAAAGAAAAAAAAAAAAAAGGAAAAAAAATATATGTATATAAAAAGAAAGAAAAAAGAAAAATCGCATCAAGTATCCGAGTTTGACGTTATAAACTCGATTAAACAGATCGATTATATAGTAAATCGAATCGTAAATGCACGGCACAAGTATCAGATCACTATAAGGGTGTAGCGAAACGAATCTAAATAAATGATAAAACAAACTACAGAGTTAAATGTACTAGCCACAACTGTTGTCACCGCAAAGTAAATAAAAGAAAAATTATATGTATATATATATATATATATACACGTCTATATACATATATATGTATGTATATGTAAAAGTAAGGTTAAATATTGAACATATCTGTAAAGCCACGTAGCATCACATTTTTAAAAACTAATTCAAACATATTGCCATTTTATTGTTAACCATCGTTCGTGCATTTTGAAATTGGCCGATCGAAGATCGTGTTTCTGGTGTTTTGTCTTTCTTGTACATAGAGAAGAGGGAAAAAACGGAACGAACGAACAAACGTAAAAGAAGAATAAGTATAGAACGTAAACGTAAAAGGTATCGAGAGTGCCGGAGGTTTCACGGTAAACAATTTACAATCTTCGGGTGACCGTCGAAGCAATTTCAAAATGCGACGAGACCAAGGCGTATGGTTATTAAACATACTTTTTAAAAACATTATTGCGTAGCGATACTGTTATTTGTACGATATATAAATATATATGAAACGTTTACGTTGTACTGTTAAAGAGCGGGGGCCCCCAATTTGAACGTCGAGCGGGTACAATGAACGTCGTAAAGGTGTATAAAACAAAAAAAAAAAAAAGAATTAAGTTTTAAATAGACCACTGTATGTATACCGAGAAACTTTAACCGCGTAACGTGCTAGATATTAAAAGTACTATGACATATTATAGTTGTGCGTTCAAGTAGACGATACAAGAAAAAAAAAAAAAATAATTGTGAGACAGAAAGGAAAGTAATTTTCGTATTTGTATAGTGCCATCGTGAATCACCAATTAAGAGAGACGAACCGACTTTTACATTAGTGTTATCTTTTATTTCTTACTTTTGTTTTTTTTTCTCTCTCTCTCTCTCTCTCTCTCTCTTTCTCTTTCTATCGTTTTCTCCTCTGCCATTCACTTTCTTCGATCTTGTTCCGTTCTTATTATCCTTATTGTTGGTCGTCGATTATGCAGTAACGCACCGGTTGTTTACAAGGCTCGTAACGTCGTAATCGCGCACGCGATCGTCGAAGATTACGAACACGATCGAGTCAGATACTTTTAATTATGAAGGTAGTCCCCCTCCCCCTCCTCCCCCCTCTAATCTCTCTCGACTTCTGTTCCTTCGTCAATGCACATTCGATGCCACACAAACGACGATACACACGACACACTCGTTGGCTGACTAGCGTGATTAGTAAACTCGTCGCGCGAAATCGGGCACCAGCGATCGCTTCCATCGGGTCCTAACTTTCTTCGTGACATTTCGCGCTGACGATTTTGTAGGGTGAAAACGCGAGTAAAGTAATACGAATCATTTTTTAGTACAACGGATCGAAATCCAGAAGATACGATTTTTATAGCAATAAACATTCTATGTTTACATAATGTAACCGCGATCGATCGGTTAGCATCTTTTAGCAAATCGAAAATTACAATCGAATCACCGCGTGAATTATAATTACATCAGAATTACGTTGTAACGAATGAAAACACGAAGTGGTTATTTTTACCAAAGTAATTAGTTTTTTTCTTTGAAAACGTAATCGAAGGAAGTTAGGAAGCAGATATTTTTTAAAGTGTTCGCGATTGCTCGATTTAGACGTGTTTCGTTTATACGTACGTATTTTTTTGGTGCTCGACATATCTGATCGTTGTTAAATATTATATTATTGTCAATACACTATAATCATCATCGCCATCATCGCCATCGTCATAAATCCTCGTCGATCATCATCGTGATCATAACTGTTACTACTACTGCTACCACCACCACCACTACTATTATTATCGCTATTGCTACTACTACTACTACTACTACCACTACCACTACTACTACTACTACTATTACTACTATTACTACTATGATTATTATTTTTATTATTATTATTATTACTGATCATAACGAGCATACGCGCCGTTTATCGCCTATTACTCGGTCAGTATGATAATTGTCGGAGTTTAGTGGTAATCAATAATTATTTCATACGGCTCTGTGCACATCACAAACACACACGGAACATTGTAAACACGCATTGTGGTTATATTTCAGTGTATCAGCATAATGATATGATGTTTCCCATAGAATACATTTTACTTGGTTTTTATATTTGGCAGTATTTTATTTAAACGTCACTTGGGCACGCGCGAATCGTGTAAGCGTTTAATTAAAAAACAAATAAATATATACGTAGAAGTACGTTAAAATAACAAAAACCCTTCTGCGTCACAAACAATAGTCGATAACACCTGAACAGAAAGAGTCAGGGGTTGCTCGACTAATCCGCAATGATCATAAAAGTAATATAAAAAATAATTTCAGTACTTAAACAATATCGTTAATATAGTTATAAAATATTTCAATTTGAAAAGATATGCATAACACAATTTAACAAAATAATTTTTATCGTTATTAATTGTACACTCGGTAATTCCATATGTTGTAGAATGGTCGACGAATTAAGGTGTCAAGGACACCGAAGGTCAGTGACACGTAAATCTCTAATAATGTTTATCTCTTTATTAACAATTTATTGTTATCAAGGTTCGCAGCATTCGCACGTGCCTGCCAAGTGCTACGCCAACACCTACAGTTTCGTCCACTGAGTTTGTTACAACAAACAATACCTGTCGATTATTCGTAACATAATTTCTATTTCAAATTTCGTTCGTAAACAGTGAAAATACTTTACGTTTACGTTTCAGTTATTTATTTAACGCTGAACGTTTTGTTCGAACCGTTACAGAGAATGTTGTCACGAACAATTATTTTTTACCGATTACGTCTTCGAACAAACACAACTTTATCAATTAATTTGGTTCGAGGATACGAGTTTGGAACGTCGCGTTTGTCGAGGAAAAAAAACTCGTGGCGCGTTCCAGATACGGGCAAAATTTTGATGAAAATTTCAAACAATTGCCCGTGTCTGGTGGCCCCGTGGCGTAGCTGCATTTTCTTTCGAAGCACGAGGAATATACATGCAATGTTGGTGTACAAAAAAACGATGGAACTTTAATATTTTTCTAACTGTTGACTGTTAACGAAAACGGTGTCTCTTGAGAAGCTCAGAGCTTAATTGGAGGCGTATACTTTCCACTCGGGACCGAGTTTTGCCGGATACGATGTCTAGAGGTATGTTGTGCGACCAAATGGAGTTGGTTTCCTGTAACGCAACAGCTCTAATGTACCTACACAATTACCTGTCCTGTTGTCTTCTTCGAAACATTGGGCTACCACGTATGAAATATCCGTTCGATCTACCAGATTGAAAATCGATTTGAACTTTCGTTTAAAGCGATTATTTGCAGTAAAGGAAACTACACTAGTCCCCGGTTAAATGAAATTTAATAGCTCGAATTACTGACAAGAGTCCGAGGCACCGAAGAATTATTGTAAATCATATCATTTGCACTCGCTGTTTTATTATATGGTGTTTGATCTAATAAAAACGGATATTTCATACGTTGCGGCCCAAAACAATATACACATACGGGTAGAAAGAGTACATATGTATTGTTGCGCGAACTGTGTGTTTTTGTCGGCATATTGGACGTGTGCAAGTAAAATGCAATTGAGTCATGTGTTTAAATGAATCATGCGCGTGTCTCGTAATAATATTTGTTCGATAGTAACGGAACAAGTTCTCCTAAAACGAAGATTCATTTTATTTACGGATTACTGGAACGTCCTTTTAGTTGTTGTTGAACAGAACGTCAGTACTTCCGTAACCAGGAATGAAATTCGCACACGTCCGAATATGTAATAATTATGTAATAAAATAATATTGTATGTTTGTGGCAAACGTAAATTCTTCTTTCTGGTCTGTGAACACGTTTCGTTCATTTCACATAATTGTCCACTTCGTGAACGTCTTTGTCCGTTTATAACGTACATCTTAACTTTGTTGTTCGATGTTCCCAATTGTACCTAAAGAAAAAACGAACACTTTTGAACGATTTTTCAATGTATTACTGTTATCACGTCATTTTCTTTTTTTTAAGGATACTTTTCAAACTGCGGGACTAAGAATTTAAAAAAAAAAAAACACAAGTGACAATTTATTTCATGATTTAGAATTATCTCGTTATACGGTATTGCCTCGCTTCTTGCATCAATCTACGTTATGGATACATGCATCGGAATCGTCCCCCGCCACTGTTTGTTCCCTCAGCTCGAGTGGTCGACAGCTTTGCAAGAAGAGAGGCAGTACTTTGAAAATTAAAAGTAATTTCCTTTCAGTTTTGTGTTTAATACAAAATTTTGAACGATATTTCGTTGCCGGTGATAAATGTTTTCATTTTATACATATTTTGTTCTTAGCCGTTATAAACACATACACACAGACACATTTTCCTGTGGAAAAAGCGCACGTTGTAACGCAACACTGTATCGTGTAATCTGTATCTATGTTGCTCGATCATCCATCTCGACTTTTCTCGATCGTTCTATTCGAACTGTACAATTTAGAGATACTTTTACAGTGTACCCGTGCACACACAACAACCATGTGGTATACTATACTATTAATCGGTGTAACGAAACACACACAAAAAAGAAAAGAAAAAAAAAACAGCGGCAACGCATCTTTGCACCGAGTACTAACACAACTTTCATTGTGACGTCCACTAAAGTGTAATTTATACGATTGTAAACATGTAAGATTAACGAGTTACCAATTAGATCGTTTTTCCATGAAATTTTCTAACGCTAATTTTTCTATCGAAGGGTGTCTAAGCGTTCTAAAAAAAAAAATTGTAAACGTTATACAAAATAACAGGGTGTCGTGTAGGGTGTTCCGTTTGTCGTTAGTCGTGTTGAATATTTGTATCGTATTTGGGAGAATTGGATAAATGTTACGACTGTTAACCTATAATTTTCTTAAACGTTGTGCTTTCGAAATTTCACGGTCATGGACTTTTTCTAAGTGAAAGTAACGAACGATCGTCACTGTTAAAAAAAAAAAACTCTATGACCTTCGAATATCCTTGAGCAACAATCTTCGAGGATTCCTTGCATGTTGTATACCGAGTGTCCCATTTAACGCGATGACCTTGACTGTCTCCATTCCCACGATGTTGCGATCGAGATTTTTCAAGATCAAGTTACGAGCGATCAAACTTTCATAGTGTTTCGAACAATTTCGATGACTCGGAAGTTTTAAAAAATCCATCGATGCGTTCTAATACGTGTATACGAACGAATTAATCCACTGGAAACAACTGAAACAGTTTCGGACGACGCGTGACTAATGGGACACCCCGTATATAGGCGTCCATCTTTTACTAAAAAAGGAGGGAAAAAAAAAAAAATGTAATAGACTTCGTAACGAGTTTGAAAAGGGCGTGTAAAGAGAAAAGGTTAACAATGGGATCGCGTGATAGATTGATATCTTATATGTATACGATCGTATCTGTCCTCTGTAGAAATGCCTTATTGTCACGTGCCTCGATTAACAATTAAACTGTTCACCTGCTTACCAATTACTTGTTAGTGTACGTAACAAAATATGTACGTGTAATATCGCGTTATTCTTTGTACTGCTCTTGTAAATATATTCTAAACGATTACTGTCATCGGGTGTCGTCTATGAAGTGAGTATCTTCGAAAATCACTTGTTCACCCTATATTTCCTCGTTATGTCCCTCGCCCCTATATCTGCAGGTAATTATAATTTCATCTGAATTATATTATTATACAAGATGGATATTTAAAAAATCTTTAAAGTATCTCGAACGTTGCAACCACAATATCATGGACCATAATTACCTGCCCAAGTAACCTTAATACGTGCCTTTGGATAAGGTACAAATTATACTTCAGTTTTTTCGTTTTATCATCTTTAGAAAACTTTGAATCAAATATTCGATGAATATTAATTCGAATATTATTCAAATACATAGTCCATTTAAATACTATTCAAATATTATTCGAGTACAATTCGAATAGCAAAACTGTTATTTATATTTTTCGACTGTAGATCATTATACTCATTTAATTTCCATCATTTTTTAGGAGCCGGATTGTATTTAAGTTTCAAAATAATAACGTTCGAAAAAATGATATTTAATAGTCAGAGCCACGATATTCTAATAATATTTGAATATTCAAACATTTATTAAACGATTATAAAAATATGGCAACTATCCAATTTCGTACACTAAACATATAAGACCAAATTCATTAGATAGCATTTAACACTATTGCTATCATGTTTATTATGTATACGTATTTCGATCATCAGAATGTGAATTACGTTATTCTTAATATCGTATTATCGACGAAAAATGATTAAATTTAGAAAATAATTTCAAGTTAAAGATTTAAAGGTTGAAACTCTAAAAAAAAAGCTTAAACCCATGTTTGGTGCTTTTGTGGTCGATTGCATTTACAATTGTTTGTGAAACGACTTTTAAGTATTGGATAAATAGTATGTTCAGACAAAATGAAATGAATTGTTATTGAATTGTGCGGATGTCAACTTATTTACGTGAAAATACAAGATAGTATCGTGAAAAATATAAAATGCCATTACCAGCTGCTTTAGCTGCACGACTTGCGAAAAGAGGACTAATTTGTGAATCAGAAAAACATGGTATATACTGTTAGAAAGTTTACTTAGTATAACTAATAATTTTACTTGTTAATGCATCTTACATTTCGCAAATTTCAAATAATCTACTCAATGATTGTAAACATAACCTTAAAATATCTTGATATCGAACGCGAACGATTTCTTTGAATTATATTAACGACTGGATTAATTTTGTATGATTATTATATCGATATTTTTCTTATATTAATATAGTTATTGTCTTCAAATATTTTAATGAAAATATCAAGATAATTATATTAAGGTTATGTTTACAATTCGAATGCTCGTTAAGTTATTTAAAATTCATTTAATTAGCACATTTGTAACAATATATATAAAGCAACGTCTTAATGCGAAACTAAAATTGTACTGTTTCTTAGAATCCACGAAAAAAGAATCGAAGAAGAGGATCCACGAGGAAGTAATCGCGGAGGATTATGATAGTACAAAAGACGAAATTAGTCCGATTGATATATCTCAAAAATTCATGGCAAGTGTCGTTGGAAATACGAACCTAATAAGATCGTTTCTAACTTGTATCTATCCTGTAAAGTATAAAACATTCATGCGGTTGTAGCGAATCGTACAATTTTGATTTCAGGGATTCAGTGGTTGTCCCAACAAATACAATATTTATCATGATTGTACAAAAAAATGTAAAGAATTGTGGGGACTTGGGCATGTACAACCTTCAGACAAATACTTGAAAAAACAATTAAGACTTATACAAAAGTATCCTTTACCAGAGACATGGAAAGCTGTTTATGATCCAGGATGGCAAGTATAAATCTTTTTTTCTTCTGAACATTGTCGCTTTTAGTATTCGTTTTGTTAATGGTTTTGTTCCACCGATAGTGGTCAACATTATTACTGGGATTGGTCATCGGATCTGGTGTCTTGGTTACCACCGGGTCATCCAAAATGTCAGATATCTCAGCCTGCGTCTCAGTTAAGAGAGGAACTGCATCTTAAAGCAGCAGAACAAGATGATAATATGTCGAGCGATGATAGCGGTAGCGATCAAGAGCCGATGGAAGTTAGTAGTTTAGTTTAGATATAATTTAACCGGTAGTTTGCTCTATTTCATGTAACATTCACGTTTCAGGTGGATGAACCGGATCCGAAGAAAGATAGGAAAGTAGAAAACAGGCTGAGACACAAGTCAATGGACAACAAAAGAATACAAAGGTTGGATAGGTCCGACGGTAAAGATAAAAAAGATCGCACTCTAGATCCCATGGATCCAGCATCTTACAGCGATATTCCACGGTATTGCTTTTTAATTATTCAACTGCTCTTTAATTGTTTAGTCAGTCTTAAACGAACTCTTTACTTCCATATTTTTGCAGGGGTAAATGGTCGGATGGTTTAGCAAGGCACAACGAAGCTAAAACTGGCGCAGACACAACTGCTTCAGGGCCACTTTATCAGATGAGGCCATATCCTAGTCCAGGCGCAGTACTTAGATCAAATAGAGCCAATAAAACAGAACCTGAATCGTCTAATAAAGCTAAAGTAACAGGACCCGAAAAACCAGAATAAAAGCTTTGATTTTTTTGTGTATTGTACAATTTATTATATACCTTAAATGTAAGTTTATTGTCTTTTACCAAAGTTGCATAGGTACGCATAAATACGCGGACCCTTGGTCGAAACGTTGTTAGTTTTCCGATCTTTATAATTTCAAGAAAAGAAATTGTAAAGTTTGGACCTTCTATTTTCATATAACTAAGTTGAATTTCAAATTTTAACGAACTCTAAAAATTTTTTACGCAACCAAAACTACCGTGAAACTTGAAATAAGATTTTATTTCATTTCGAACGAGATGTGGCCGTCGGCATAGGGCACTACTCTGTAACGAATAATAGCGAAAAAATGATGCAAATTAATGAATTGTATTTTGTTGAGTTTACGTTATAGATCATACGTGATTTGAAAATTAAACATGTATTTTGATCAAAATAAATTTCTTATTTTGTACGAATACAATACGTGTGTTCTAAATTTATGACGAGTAGGGGTTCAATGGGTTGCATGAAAGTGGAAAAAGCATGGAACGAAGGAAAGAGAAGAAAGTTATAGGAACGGAAAAAGCTGGACAAGATTGGAAATTTTAAATACATACAGAAAAATTCGACGACTGCCACGTCTGTTTAAAAATTCTGATCATGTGCGTGCGGAAGTATTTAACACGAATTTAGCCACGCAGATATATATACGCGTTATTAATTTCGTTCGAGTTGGAAACCCATAGTAAAATATACAACATTGGCTGAAAAATCTGCTTCTGATAAAAATTTTCACGATTACAAAGTCACGCGTAGGCTCAACATGCACCATCATGATAAAGAAAACATTAACGAGTTCCGAGGTCGTTTTAATTAAAATCTCTTCCCGCGAATCGATATCGTATAATGAAGAATACAAGAACATTATGGGATAATAAGCGTCTCGATGGTTAGAACAACGACCGAATAAGTTCAAAAACGTATCGGTATTAATTTTCAATCGAAGCATGAACATTTTTCAAATTTACCATTTGAACATTGCAGTTGACACTACTGCCGATATCTTCGAGTCAATGTTGAAGTTAACCTTGTTCTTGGCCTAGTTTGTCAGTAACGATGCAGGGGAGCAAGCTCGATATTTCCAAGGGATGATACGCGTATAATGGAACGAATTCACGGCGCTAGGTATTTCTGGACGAATTTTTTGGCAAATTGCGTCGTGTCTAGTCTACGTTCGAAGACGCGGTGTCGATTAAACGGTGAAACGTCCAGCGACGCAAAAATACAAACACCGTGCGTAAATATCCTGTAACGTTAATTGCATGACGTAAAGAAGGATTTTATGAATTATAAAGAGGAGTTGCGAAACATCACGAGTTCGCGCGAGCGTGGATTTTCACTGCGTGTGTAATATTTCACGCGCTATGAATACGATAACTTGAATATCGTCAACCGCGTATTTTGTGAGGTACGTATGCACGCGTGTTATCGTTTCATATTTGTTATTAAATGTTTAAGCGCTCGTGGGAAGTACTCGAGGTCGAGCATTATTTTCCATTTAAATTGTGGCCGAGTATTTACGCATTGGCGTTGAAATATTTATGACATTACTTTTCCAGGTTAACTCATAGGCACATGACAGTTACAGGATTTTCCCGCCGATTTTCGAAACGTCACGATCATGATGTTCGCCCGAACATTGCATAATCATTGATTTTTCGCCGGACCGAGATTCAAATTTGAATAATCTTGCATAAATGAAATTTAAGGAATTTTTTAACAGGAAGGTGAGATTCATTGCTTCCGCGAAACCGTTCGAAATTGTTATGGTCACGATAGTTCTTCGAACGTTTCGCCAATCGAAATACTTTTTATCACGTTATTGCATTATGCATTTTATGTTCGTGGCCCAGAAAGAGTTTACAGCCTCATAGATTATTTGAGAAGGAAATGACAGTTTATAAAATTCTAATTGAACGAATAAAACCTTTTGAGGGGGTAGGACGTATAGATCACATAGTACGGTAAACATGTTAACATATATATTGATCTCATTTCAGATAAATTTAATTTATTCGTATCGGAGAAATATTCACTGGTAGTGTTCGTTACAAAGAAGTTTCAAACAATAAATATTTATTTCATTGGGCTTGGAATTATTGGTATCATTCATGCAGTTCTATGTAGATATGATAGACAAGAACAAGAGTTGCCGTGGGGTAAGTAAAATGAAGCTTTGTACAAAAGTATGCAACTAATATACTTATTGCCTTTTTTTCCATATAATTGTTTAACGTTTGAAAATTTTCTTATTAAACTGTATTATGAGTATAAAAGGTTTACCGGTACACAGCGAATAGAAAGAATAAAGTTCAATTGTTACAAATATTTCCATCTTTATTTCTATGTGTAGCAAAATATATTTCATATAAAGTCAAATGCTTTTGAGAGAAGCACATTTTGTATTATTAGTTTTTTCACAGGTAAATGTGAAGAGGATGTACAAAGGTCATTAATGTTCTTTTTAAATGGGAATATTCTTTACAAAATAGTATTAGAGATATTCTAATTTTAGCGTTGTTACGAAATTATGATATCTATAAGAAAAAATTCGATTATAAATAAAACCGATTTATTCGTAATTCAAATAACTTTTGCTCGACACCGAAACGGGGATTTCTAAATCAGACATTCGCAGTCCGTTGACCGATAGTACTTATTCCTTGAATTTGCGTATTCATTTTTTCCCCACGTTGCTTCGTTCGTGAATATAACGTCAGCGTAAGGATGGATTTATTATAATTACGTGTAAGATTGCAATTTCATTCGACTTTACGTAAAATATTTACCGTTATACGTAATAATAATGACGCAAATCGAGTTTTTAATACATACCTGGCGATCCACCCTGTATATTTCAAAGAAGAATGTTAGTGTATTTCCCCTTATCTGATTAATTTATCTTATCTCCGTTACACGAAAGTTTTCTTAGCCATTTTATGTTTAAAGTTTTATTTTGTTAAGTAATTCATGCATAGTTACGCGTATTCGCATTAAAATATTAATATTAAAATTAGTAGCCCCTAAATAGGGTAGTCCCTAAACTGTATTTTGCATACAGTTACAATAACACACTATGCATGTGTTGTATAACGTTTCATTATATTTTTTTCTTATTTATGTTGTTTCTTTATTATTATAATGATTTGTATTTGGTTTTGTTTAATGTTCTTTTTTAGTTAGTATATTGGTTCAGGTGAATATATATTTTGATACGTATCAACATGGCAATTGGAAATATTATCTGTGGGACAAGCACTCCTAAAATGAAGAGAAAAAAGGCAAAGGTATACTTTGGTTTGCTTTTATTCGTTTCCTCTGAAAGTGAATGTTACATTCGACTGTTTCTTATAGACGTTTGATATAAGCATTGAGATATTTCAAAATATTAAAAGATTCGAGACAAAAAGTGGCAAATAATGGTATTGTTTTAGGTATAATAAATTTTTAAAACTCGTTACAGGCAACCGAACGCAGTTGGATAGAGGCGACTTTTCAAAAAAGGGAATGTTCGAAGTTTATTCCAAGCGCTAAAGATGAGCACAGGTACGTGTTGCGGTCAGACGATTTATATCGATTAATCGAATTATGGATACAATTTAGAACGTTTTAAACTCTGTAAAAAAAAGGTTAAAAGATTCAGAAGTTTCCTGAAGTTTGTAAAAAATTTTATTTCAAGTAGAATGGCCCATTTCAAGTAAGCAAAAAACCAAAGCTTTTAACGCGCGTCATCTATCATCACATGTTTTGTTCGATATTAAATATACATCATGCGTTGTTCAAACTTTCATATTCTTTGGTTTCTACACCCGACTGGCTTAACGGCGGTAGAATTAATAAATAACCGCATGCACTTTGTTTCTCCGAAAGGGACAATATTTTTGCAGAGGCAATATAAGTCACCGCATTATAGCGATGATCGTAAAGTCGTTCGATTAATTTTTACATTAATTTTCTAATCGTGGTTCAACGTTTCAACGCATTTGTTTTGTTATTGCACTATTTGTTCATTGCGCGTACCTGTTATCGAGAATGTATTTTCAAATTTCTGCAGGTCATCATTAACACACTTTTTTTGTGTTCATTTACTTTCCATTTACTTTTCTTTCTTTCGTTCCATTTGTAGGTTTATGCAAGTACAGGGAGATAAGAATGCAGAGTATGATGTGATCACTACTTCCAGGTGAGAGTTAGTTATGCGTCCTGTCGCGATAAACGATCTTATATTCTTAAAAGAAAATAATATTTAATATTGCTTCTGCAAATCTATCGCGTATACAAACCGATTCTAGCAACTCGGATAACCTGTGGCTCTTTTATAAAAGGAAAATGTTGAACGCTTAAAAGTGTCGCAGCGCGTTCCAGTTTCTAAAATCACTCTGTATATTCGAAAAAGTATTGTGTGGATCGTTGTATTTATAGAAAATAATGTTTCTGCTTCGAAGAAAAATTAATAGTTATATCTCGTTCTACAGTTTTAAACAGTTGTTAACGTAATACTTATTTTTTCATGCATTCTATACCGTTCTCGATATTAGTGGTTTGTACGAAAAACTGCCGAACTGTAAGGTCTTAGCGTATCTTAAACGTTTACGTTTACATTCTTTTACGTTTATATTCCCTTTATTGTTTCTCATAAAACATTTACTTTTCCTCGCGATAGCCTTACTCATCATTCTTTGGATCATATCATAATTAATCCATACTTGTGCAAGGAATATCATTGATGCAGTAACACCATGCTTCATTCAAAGACGATTATGTATGAAATATTTGAAATTGTATAGTAAGACTTTTTATGCGCCAAAGAGGACGTTGGTTGAAAAGGAGTACAGTTACACGTACCAGTTGTAGTTTATTTGCCATGTAGTGTAGTTATAAAGTATCAAATATTATTCTTTGTTTATCAATGTCTGGTTAGTTTGACGCTCCACGGGTGTATTGGTCTTAGAGTTGATAGAAGTGGTCTGACATTTGTTTATGTCAAAACGCATCTAATTTCGAATTTCCAAGCGAAACTAACAGGTAAAGATTGGTTATTCTAGATGTTGTTGCGGGTATTCTTATACTCATCACTGCGGAACCGGTGCAGACGTACAAAGTTATACTGCTAGCAATACCAAAGAAAAGGATCGAGAGCAATGGTCACCTGGTAAAAATACACGGCCGTTTCCAACCGATGCATACGGTACGATTGAATTTCAAGGCGGGCCTCATCCAACGAAAGCACAGGCAAGCGACAAGAGCGGATACAAACAGTTTTAACGGTCAAATATTTATAGGAAATTACATTATTGATATTTCCTCTATAGTACGTGAGACTAGCCCACGATACAAGGCCAGAGCCAATAGTACAATTACTATGTAGAGAATGGAATTTAGGATTACCGAAATTGCTGATCACTGTACACGGTGGTCGTCCAAATTTTGATCTTCAGCCTAGTTTGAAAAAAGTTTTGAGAAAAGGTTTATTGAAGGCTGCGAAAACAACCGGCGCATGGATTTTCACAGGTGGAACTAACACAGGTTGGTCCCGCTCGTTACCATCCTTTAGTTAAATCAGTCTGCAACAAATTGATTGCATATCTGAATTAAATTTGTATAGGCGTTACGAGGCAGGTAGGAGACGCATTGCTGTTGGAAAGATCTCAAAGGCAGGGACGCGTTGTGAGTATAGGCATAGCGCCATGGGGGATTTTAGATAAAAGCCATGAACTTGTGAGCCGCGGAGGCGAAGTACCCTATGATTGCCTTTCATCTCCATGGTGAATATAAATTTTATTTGGTTGTATAATGAGTCGTATGAGTTGTATAATGAAATAAAATTCTTCAGGTCCAAATATGCGGTTCTAAATAATCGACACGCGTATTTTTTATTGGTGGACAATGGTACTGGCGGTCGTTATGGCGCGGAGATCGTGTTGCGCAGGAAATTAGAGAAATATATCTCCAATTTGAAATTACAGCCATGTAAGTATTCGTAACCAAAGTTAATTGTGCATTATTGTACCGTTAACAATTTTTATGGGACTCGTGTAAACATTTTGTCACAGATACGCACAGCAGTATACCTGTCGTGGCATTAGTGATCGAGGGAGGAACAAACACAATACGTTCGGTACTGGAGTATGTTACGGATGATCCACCTGTTCCTGTAGTGGTTTGCGATGGCTCGGGCCGTGCAGCTGATCTCATTGCTTTCATGCACAAGTAATAACAAGTTTTCTTAATGTATTTTTAAAAAGAATAAAGCAGTAACAAGAGAAAAAATATTTAGATACGCGTCGGAAGGTGATGGGGAGAACGGGGATAACGAGGGACCATTAGAGAGTATGAGAGAACATGTTTTGGAAACTATAAAGCGCACCTTTAAAGTTTCTACCGAACCAGCGTGCCAATTGTACTCGGAACTTCTGCAGTGCACGCGTAAGAAACACTTGGTAAGCATCGGTACTAAAATCTCCACGGTTAACCTTCTCTTTCTTCGTCAAGCAACGTAACTTTGACCGTTGAAATACTATTAACGTGTTCACAGATAACAGTATTTAGGATAACTCAAGATCGTCCCCAAGAACTTGACCAAACAATATTGACGGCATTGTTCAAGTCCAAACAATTGTCACCGGCCGAGCAGTTATCGTTATCCTTGATTTGGAACAGAGTGGACATAGCACGCAGCGAGATATTTGTTTACGGGCAAAAATGGCCGCCGGGCGCTTTGGAACAAGCCATGATGCAAGCATTGCAACACGATAGAATCGATTTTGTAAAACTGCTACTGGAGAATGGCGTCTCTATGCGAAAATTCTTATCGATACCGCGTCTCGAAGAGCTTTATAATACCGTGAGTACTTTATAGTGAGTACTCTTGCTTTTTACCATTTACTCTGCAACGCGATAAACGATCTATTATGAAATTCTGTTATACAGAAAGAAGGCCCTTCGAATACACTGGGCTATATTCTGCGCGACGTGCGACCAAATATCCCGCGTGGTTACATGTACACGTTACACGACATCGGGCTCGTGATAAATAAATTAATGGGTGGGGCGTACCGTTCTCAATACACTCGCAGACGATTTCGCGTGATCTATACCAAAGTGATGAAAAGATCGGGGGCTCATCAACAGCACATGCATCGAAACAGCTGTGCATGGGGCGGCGCCACCCGTTACTATACAGGATCCGGTAACAAACAAGAGAGCTCGACGATAAGTTTGCTCGCTGAAACGTTGCCAGCTAATCGTGATACACCTCTTTTCGATTACCCCTTCAACGAGCTGCTTATTTGGGCCGTTCTGACGAAGCGCCAGCAAATGGCGTTGCTGATGTGGCAGCACGGCGAGGAAGCATTGGCGAAGTCGCTCGTCGCCCTCAAATTATACAAGGCCATGGCGCACGAGGCCGCCGAGGACGACCTCGAAACGGAAGTGTACGACGAGTTACGAAATTACGGAAAGGAATTCGAGAACATTGGTACTGTTATACGTTTAGAACAGCGACGGGGGTTGCTCTCGACGCTGCTTTAAATGAATCTAATAAAATGCGACAATACCACACGATTCTTTTTGTTTTCTATAGCGTTAGAGTTGTTAGATTACTGCTATCGCCAGGACGACGATCAGACGCAGCAGCTTTTAACCTCTGAACTTCAGAACTGGTCCGGACAGACGTGTCTTTCCCTAGCTGTTACAGCCAATCATCGTCCACTGTTGGCGCATACTTGCAGTCAAATCATTTTAGCTGATCTATGGATGGGCGGACTTCGGACAAGAAAGAACACAAATTTGAAGGTTATTGTTATTTGTTATTGCAGAGAGACCGGTTCTGCAGAATATTGCCAGTTTTATTTCGAAAACTAATTCTCTTTGTTTTCATTTATTTAGGTTGTACTCGGGCTAGTCTGTCCATTTTACATAACACGTTTGGAATTCAAAAGTCGCGAAGAGTTACAATTAATGCCGCAAACCCAAGAGGAGCATTTGATTGCTCTCGAGGATGAAAAGGAGGACAGCGATTCCGAGCACGGCGCGCCAACCGGTCCTGACGTCGAGGTAATGGTTTCTTTTTCTTTTTTTTAACAATACTGCCAGTAAATATTAAATAATTATACGAGGGGTGATTTTAATTGCAACGAGCAAATGTACAAAATATTATTACAGTCAAGCAATTATCACAAATGTGTAGAATATAATTATAGAATTAATTAGTGCAAACTTGTCATTGCATTTATGATAATTCATTACTCATTTCATGCTGCAGTTATTAATATTATTTTAAAAAACATTGCCGACAGTCATTGCTTTATTATTTTTTTTTTAGTAACGTTTGATGTCGTTCGTTCATTGTACAAAATGTTTCAGATTTTTATCACGTGCAAATAGAAATTTCAGCAATGATGAATTTATCTAAAGTACTTAAGTTTTGTTTGCGTAATTGTCGTTAGAAGCTAGTCGAGCTACCGTGTGTGTTCACTTGCAAAAAATGTTTGTTGCATAATTGATATATATGGTTGCTGGTTTTGAATTGTAGTTTGAACAATTACATAAAAACGTATACGCATGTAGGTTCTATTTTTATAGAGGTTAAACAATTCGTTTAAAGCGTGAAATTTGTCGGCTACTTAGGGTCACGTATTTAAACAGTACATTACGGTACCTAGTTTTGTACATTTTAGTTTTCATTCTTAATGCGTGCACAAGATGATAATATTTATTAATTCATCATGTATGATTTTATTATCTTTATTAATCTAAATGTTGTACCTTTAAAATGTTTTCGGAAATGCGTCATGTACGTCTAGTAATTGGATCAGTATTTAATGGTAAAACGTATCGATCATTGTTAGAGGTATTGAAATGTGTTTTTATTATTCATAGACTATGTGGGTATGCGTATGAATTGTTTTTTAGAAACGTCAGCGCAGGAGCCTGAGCGTACGCAACAAATCCAGCAGCCAACAAGGCGCTAAGGTATATCCATAATGGCCTGAAATGCAATGATTCTATGACCAATAAGTTCACACTTTCCGGTGCACTTTTCAACTATCTCTCTTTTGTTATTAGTTATCATCAAGGAAAACTTCTGTTTATTCAGTATCGGAATCCGTACCGGTGAGGATGATAACTAACGCTTCTATCGTAAACGAGTCGTCCTTGTATAAATACCTAAAAATCGTCTAGTCGATGAAATACCAGAAAAATATCGGTATTGTTCCAGTAAACATAATGCCAATGACAGAAGTCGATCGACTTCCAAAATAATTAGGTGTACAAATGAATGATCCAATTTTCTCAACCACGTTCAATGTTTATTTTAAAAGAAAGTAAATCGAAGTGTTCGATCAAAGTATTCACCTCATCTTTCAGGCAGCTGATGAATTCCATCTCGGAAAAATTTTACGTTTTTGGGCTCGATAAAGTCGCCAATCCATTTTCGGATCCACTGATTGGAAGTGCATAAGTCTGAAACAGGTGATAATCAGATGGAGCAATGTCTGGTGAATACGTTGGGTGCTGCAAGACGCCCCAGTCAAGACTCATTATGGTGTCTTTTGCATGGGAAGCAATATGTGGCCTGGCGTTGTCGTGCAACAATTTCACTGGGATTTACCCATGACTTTCTGCGTTTCGGATTGTCATAGAGTGCTTATTGAGAAGAGAAAGACACACTACCACTCGTTGATTTTTGTTGGGTGCAGTGAGTTCATGGGGAACCCATTTTCCTTCTTTCTGGATCTTTCCAATCTCACGTAGGCGTTTGGAAATCGTTTCCTGGGTTACTCCTAACTGTTCTGCAAGTTCTTTTTGCGTTTCTGCCGCATCCTCAGCGAGCAGTTGTTCCAAATCATCGTTATCGCACTTCCGAGGGCCTCCAGGGCGTTGTTTGTCGATTAGACTCAAATCACATCTTTTAAACGGCCTAAACTATTAATACTACAGCTTCATCGAGAAAGGAACAAATCGATTCGTATGCTCTTGCAGCATTTTTCCCTTGTTAAAATTCGTAAAGAAAACAGTGTCCGGATATGCACCTTATCTGTTGCCATTTTCGACTCTACCGAATTGCATACATTTGAAGGTAGTATGTTGGGCCTTTGTCAACGCTATATGACCGCAAAAAAGTGGGAAAATCTATCGACTTTAAACTTGATTTTATAACTGCTCAAGGTGATTTGGATTATTCATTTGCACACCTAATATATTTATACATGTACATAAATCTTTTGTTTTATACGAACTCAGCCTCGAACCAAACAAATTTGAAAACCTTACTGTATGAAATGATCACAGGGCGTAAGAAAAAGGCAAAGAAGTTTTATCAATTGATTTTTCATTTTATATACCGATGTTTTCAATCGCGGTTGATGTCTGTAGTCATTACCAGTCGTACGTTATTGATAATTTGTCCTTGATATTTGTTACTTGATATTTCAGTACAACCTTGCCTCCCAACGATTTTACATTTCAAATGTCAGTGTCGATTAAAAGGGAAGAGGGACGGAAGATCATTCGAATAATGCGACTAATTTCAACCGCCACCTTTCCTCGCATTACATCTCGTAGTGCACTAATGATTTATAGTTTACACGGCCATAATCTCTTTACACGAACTGCACTTTATCCGTTGCTTTCTACTCTCTCTTGTTTCTACTTTTCATAGTTCCTTAGCGATACCCGACTGAATTTAACGATCTTTAAAGCAGCGATTCTCAATGATCCTTCTCGGTGAGAAAAACATTAACAAAAAACTATAAATATACTTGAGAAACGCTACTTTAAAGGTATCTCTCTGTTTGTCAAGAACAGGATAATTATTTTGAATCGTCGTTCCCTGTACACAAAAGCTTACTGTCATTATTACACCACTTGGCTATTTTGTATTGTACATACCGTTCAAAGTAATCCATCTTCATGCGATAGAGTAAAAGTTCATCCCATGTGTACATTCGCTTCATAAATTCGCGCGTCGACGGAAAAACTATGGTAGTAACATATTTGTAGAAGAATTATATGTGCCACGCAATATGTCCAATTCTCTTTCCACCATCTTCCACGACATTCTGGATCGTTACAGAAACATATCTCGTTACATTGTTCTGCTTCTTTCGTACTATGTATCATTCTACCAAACCGCCTTCTTTAACCGATATCTGTTAGCAACGCTCTTATTGTAAACGATTTCCGTGAATGACCCGAGGAACTAGTTAAAAACCAATTATCGATACATGTCCAACATCTGAAAAATTCCTATTTATCTGTGTGTCAATGTTCAATGCGATCTGTTTGATATAGTTTACGCGAACATTACTAAAATTGTACGTTTTTACGTGTAGGCCTTGATCAGCAACGAACACACTACAACGGTGGTGAAAGAAACGATCGTGCAAGAAAATGGGAAAGTTCTGACGGACAATGACGATGGCGTTCATCGTTCCTATGGCATTCACTCCGACTATTACGATACTAAGACCAGCCGGCCGTTGCGACTGAAGAAAAAATTATATGAATTTTATACGGCCCCTATCACTAAATTTTGGGCGAACGCTGTACGTTCTCGTCCCTCTGACAAATTGATGGTTGTTTAATAACACTTTGACGGCCACTGTCACGTGTACGTGATCTACTGTATCAGTCACCATTTCATCATACATTCAACTTATTACGTTGAGGTTACGTTTATAATTCCTTGTAATAATATTCCTAGCATCTTCATGTATCTCACTTTGGTCTACAATATCAGTGGCCATTAAAGTGTTAAGTCAGAGACGCTCTCACCGGTATAGTTAAAAATCGTTGAGATCAGTGAGGGCGTTACTAACGTAAACAATGATCAAGAAATTAAATTACATCGATACGACCTATGGCTAAATACGAAATTTCTTTCTTTCTTTATATCACAGATAGCGTACATTATCTTTTTGGTACTCTTCTCATACTGCATTCTTATACACATGGATGATCATCCATCGCTGGCAGAGATCTATGCAATCACGTATGTCTGCACATTGGGATGCGAGAAAGTACGTGAAATCGCCACATCCGAGCCGGCCACTCTTTCGCACAAGTTCAGCGTATGGACATGGAACATGTGGAATCCTTGCGACACGGGCGCCATTATCATTTTTCAAATTGGTCTTGGCTTACGTTTGCGACATTCCACGCTCGACGTTGGTCGTGTCATCTACTGCGTTGACTGTATTTATTGGTATTTGCGGATATTCAATATCCTTGGTGTAAATAAATACTTTGGTATGTTATGCTGCTCAAACTACAATTATAGCTAAACGAATAAACGTACATAAATAAATAAGCGTGCCGGATCTGATACGTATGACGGATAAATAAAATGTTTCATTATATTCGTTAGGTCCATTGGTTACCATGATGGGAAAGATGGTAAAGAACATGATATACTTTGTAGTGCTCTTGCTAGTCGTATTGATGAGCTTTGGTGTAACACGGCAAGCTATTTTAAACCCGAATGCTGAGCCTAAATTAAAAATCATTCGAGACGTATGTGTTCTCTATAAATACTTTCTAGCTTCTGGTACAGCAGATGATCGATTTCTGGATGAAACATGTATGTTTCTTGTTGCACAGATATTCATGGAGCCATATTTCATGCTGTACGGAGAAGTGTACGCAGACAACATAGACCCTGATTGCGGAGACGAACCGGGAATGATACCATGTCTTCCAGGCCGTTGGATCACACCTGCTGTAATGTCTATTTATCTTTTAGTCGCAAACATTTTGCTGATAAACCTTCTGATTGCGGTTTTTAACAATATTTTCAATGAGGTAAACGCGGTGGCGCACCAAGTTTGGATGTTCCAACGTTTTACTGTCGTTATGGAGTATGAACAGAAACCAGTTTTACCTCCCCCGCTCATTGTAGTTTGTCACATATATCTGCTGGTGAAATATTTGCTGCGATATGTGACTCAAGGCAAAGCAAGTGCGGGTGAAACGTACGACAACGGGCTTAAGTTGTTCCTAGAGGTCGACGACATGGAGCGTCTCTACGATTTTGAAGAAGACTGCGTCGAAGGGTACTTTCGCGAGCAAGAACTGAAGCTGCAGATGTCGACGGAGGAGAGAGTGAAGGTTACGACGGAAAGGGTCGAGAATATGCATCAGAAGATAGAAGACATCGATAAGAAGGAACACACGCAGAATGCTTCGCTGCAGGTAATAACGCTACGTAACTGTTGTTGAAATTCAATACCGAGGTGCCATTTTGTTGTCGCAGGCGGTGGAATTTCGCATCCGTAAGCTGGAGGAGTTGAACGAGCAGACATTGGCTCACCTGGGTGTCATACATCGGTTCATGGCGACGCACATGCCCAACATAGAAACGTTATCCGGCTTCGACGTGGAGGGACGCGTACGCAGAGTGTCGGAACGCTCGGAAGTTCTATCAGAAACGGATTCTCACACGCAACTACCGACCATCGCCCTTAAACGCAAGAGGCTGATGCGATCGTTGACCGACGGGACGTTCCTCAACATGGGTCAGCCGTTGGACGACGACGTGTTGAAACATTCAGAGGTGGCCACATCTCGCGAGAATCTTAGCAGAAACGAATCATCGGTAAGCGGAGACGGGCAGATCGTTCAGGACGACGTGAAGACAACGACGAGCCAGGAAACCGAGGTGAGCAAAGGGGACGGCGAGGGGGAAACTATAAAGAAGGAATCGCAGACGGACAGCAGAGAACCGAGCATGGATCCCAGCGTGGATCCAAGCAGAGAACCAAGCAGCAGAGAGTTGAGCACAGACCCCAGTAGACAAACGAGCAGGGAACTGAGCAGAGAGACGAGCAGAGAAGCAACCAGCAGAGAGGCCACCAGCAAAGAACCAAGCAGAGAAGCGAGCAGCGAGGCACCTGCCTCGGAACCGACCAGACAAGACTCCACGGAACGTCCCACGCGACAAAACAGCAGAACACGATCAGAGTCCGACGACGTGATGGTGTTACCCTCGAGAGGTGTCACCTGGGCCGAGCCACGAGTAGCTGTGATCCCATCCGTGTCGTCGACGAGCAGCACCCAACGTTCGATTCTGCTGGCGATGCGCGCCGAGTACACCAGCATAACCGACGAGTTGGAGAGTTACTGTGGCCTTCTCAGCCCGCCTCGTACGCCACCGATCTCGCCGCCCCCTTCGAGGGCCAGGCACCACACAGGCATGTCCAACGCGGAGATGGCCTGGCAGATCGAGAACGAGCATCTGCGCGACGCCGAGGAATGCGATTACCAGCAGATGGAGGATCTGATACAGAGAAGATACATAGGCGACGACGACGAGCCTGTGCACACGTCGGACGAGGCGAGCGGCGGCGGGCTGTTCTTCGTATCGAACGAGCACAGGCACCAGCTACGCAGATCGTCCGCCATCGACGAGGAATCTCGTAGGCCGGCGCCTACTATCAGTGTCACGAGAGAGATCGAACAAACGCTGTCACGGCCGCCGATCCGCGACTCGGAAAGTTCCGATCCGAACGACAAGAACCTGAGTACCGTACCTGCTCCAGCATCGGAGACCATGTGCTGAATATTATCGGTGTGTGTGATCAATGGTACTACACCAAACGTAAAATCGACGCACGTACAAATCGATCGTGACTCGACATCGCGGCGGGAATATATTTTCAATTTAAATTATTTTTCTGATCGTAATGGCGAGGGCCCCCGGGGGGGGGGGTCTTGGTAACTTTAAAAGTATAGGTGTATATTTTGCCTCGTCGTGTTCAACACAAATATTATAGCGTGTATCGAAGATGGCTGTAGCGCGGCTCTTGAGGTTGGTAAACCATTTTAAAAATTCTGTTAATTTTATTCTCATCAGATGCGTTTCGCTATTACTAGCTGCTGTGCCCTATATACTTTTGCATGATGATTCTAACTTTTCCAGCATCGGTTCTTAACGAAACTGTCAACTGTAGCCTGTATCCTCAACTTTTATATTTATTTAATCGCGCGTTCTTTTATGCCGCTATAATATTTGTCTTGGTAATAGTAATATTAAAGTATAGACGAGAAGCCGGAGGCAGCGCTTTAAACAATGAATAAGCGTGCAAATAAAAAACGTGTGTTCCGATCATTCACGTGTCGTAATAAAACTATTAAAAATTCGAACGAACGATTAATCGCAGCATGTTTGTACATGATCAAGAAAGAATGCATTTTTTGTTTAATCGCTTGCTCACGGTGCAAAGTGCTCGCTCTCCATGTCGGAATCGAAAATTGTTTTCCGATAGATTTTAGCTACAATTTTCCCCAGATTTTTAGCGTATTCTTTTCGCGAATAGCCTGATTACTTATCTTCGAGTACTTAGCGTATTGTATATATATATATGTATATGCACATAAATTTGTACATACAAAACGTGAACCATTATTATACTCGAGAAGGTTTCGATCGAGCTCGGGTATTCAGAATTTGTAGTATATTGCAATTTGTACGTAGCTTACTTTTCGTTGGAATGCTGTATTTGCATGTATCGACAATCTAATCGTTTTATCAATTTTACAGAATGTTCGCCAACCTTCTATAGAGAATTTTTAATTTGCGTTTTACGCGCGTCGTTGTACAATTTTACAACTTATTTATTAACCCAGCGTACGGTTATAAATGTATACAGTTTTTACGATCCCCGACGTTCGAATACTCGAAGAAATCGGGCGAAAATTAACGTCACGCAATACGTATGTTTACATTACTGTTAATTTATTTTTTAATCAACGGCTTTATAAAGCTTCCAATAGAATACTAATTTTATAAATTGCCACTAGAATATTAATACTAACTTCTGCGTATATAATTACAGCTTCAATTTCCATGTATAGGATCTAATTAGTAGCCAGTACGTAGAAAGTATCTGTTGTAGGCGTAGAACTTAAGCAGCTTGGTCGAAAATTAATCGGAACATATTTTTGACTCCTTTGCTCGATTCAGTCTGTTCGATTGCTCGTTAAGAATAATATCTTTAACTTTGTATATTATAACAGGGGGTAATGAACATTGTACGCACGTTCGATCATGTCCACGTGCAGTTGATTGCTGTCAACGATATCAAGGAATCGTAATATATTATAGATTATTTTTACGCGCGTAATAAGTTTAATGTAACGAAGGTCTTGGTTGTAAAAACGTTGGTTGCATGTTTCTTTCGAACGTACCGATCGGTCAACAAAACTGATTTGTGCCTACTTGGAAATTCCAATTAACGTCGCTGGTATTTTTAAGGTTTTAAGAACGAATACGTTCCGGGGGGGGGCTTGCGTTACCGTCACTTCTGTGAATCGTATTACAATGCACCGTATACAAGCATTTCTCAAGTTCCTTCCATTTTCTAGACCGTGTATTTTTCAATTTTATATGCACGTACAATTTGTTTGTTATCGCGTGACATCGCGACGACAACGCGACAGAACCGTACTGGCTTTAGGGTGCAATTTCATTTTAGTAAATTTTAGAAAACTGAAGATAGTTTCGGTGCGAATAATTTTTTCCTGCTGATTACTTGTAACGCGACACGGGATATACGCAGCTTTGTTATCAATAGACCGCGGATCTTTATGCAAATTCACATCTTTATTAATAGAATTAATGTAACGGACCCCTAAATATAATAATTCGTATCTTACTTTAAGTATTTCTTATATTTTTGCATATTAAATGCATTCTGTAGTTTCTTGAGGATTAAAATTTCCCATAAATGCATAAACATCCGCAGTCTAGTTATCATTTAGACACGTGCGAATAGCGTTTGCATCGAATCGAACGATTTACAAAACGATTCAATCCAAGTCGAACCACCAGCCGTACTGGTTCATTCATTTTTCATTATCGTTACATGGAAGAATACCGTCCTGCTATAGGTTTTTTACCGTCGTTCCAATACAAATGCAAGCGCTGGAAAACAAACGGAAGAAAAACTCGCCGAAATCTTTTTAGGTGCGATGGCGTGCAACGCGAAACTTCATTTTACACGTACGTTTGTCAACGAACAGCTTCTGTATTTCTATTATGATTTACGTGTTTGTACTTGGACAGGCAACAGCTGCGCGTGCAACTTTTTAGATAGATCGCACGCGGTTCCGTTCGTACGAACGCAATAGAAAGGACACAAATTGTAACAAACAAATTTGGTTCGATTACCACGGCCATTTTAAAGCGTGACTCGCGTAAACGATCGGAAGTGGTAAAATTTTGCTGTAAACCCTTCTATTCTCAGATAAATGTAGCGTGTAGAATTAACAATCGCGAACGATTCGCACGCGTCTATCACGTCGTTACTGCCGAACGTTTTTATGAATCTTTTGACGTACAGAATGTGAACGAAGTGTTTGTCACGCGAATTTTTATATCAAACAACTCATTGCAACTAAGTGGGGAACTCGACGATGTTCGAATTGGTAAAAACTTTATCAATCTTTTGCAAGAAAACAATCCGTTTGTAACGCTTTGGTTCTCAACGAACATTGCACCCTCTTGTCGAGCAGAACACGTAAAAGTATAGAAATATTTCGACCTTGAACTTAAAATTCCAAGGTCTAGCATAAGTTTACATTCCCGAGAACTGCTGACAAACACTTTTTCTTCTACACCCTGTACATTTAGGGCCTTATCGCGCACTACTTGCTGCGTCAAACACAGAATTTAAGGACCACGTAAAAGCGAACCATATCACGCGGACACGTTCTCAAGAACGATGCCAATCCGTGTTAGTACCTACGATACGCAACCGAAGACAGAAACATTTGATATTTGAACCTAAAAGATGAAAAAAGAAAAAAAAAAAAAAATGACAAACGAACGGATGCCTAATTGTATAAAAAAAAAAAAAGAAAAATGTGTATAGTAGGCTAAAATTTTAAGGCGAGAAAGAAGTTGTAGAACGAAGACGGGCGAACTTAAGACTGTTCCAAAGAAAACAACGCTCCGGTTACTTATTTTATGGTCGAAGTGAACGAAAGAATCGACCGGAAACACCACCCCCCTCTTTTACTGCCTTAATCTAGTGGCCCGGATGTTCAATGTTCAACGGCATTCGATAAAAGTAGCGACGGGTTGAGTAATGATTTCAGTTTGTCGGCCATGATATTGTAAGACGGTTTCGATACTTCGCTACTCTCGTGGGTTACATCGATTGCGTGGATTCTTTCGTTCACGCCGACATATTGTACAATGTAAATCGATTACGCCATTTGTTTTCAAGGAATATCGTCGATCGATCTGTTGCTGAATTTTGAAGATGAATTTTACGTATTCTCTCTCCCGAGTCTCGAAGAAATTCAGCAACACGTTGAATATAGTTGAATTTATTTGAATATAACGGATTTGTACATACTTTTGCTTATACCATGGTTCCTGTTATCATTAATTTCGTTGCGTCCTGAAATCTATTGAAATCAAATTGGCTTACAAGTCGCATCTGTGGAATTACCGATTTTATTCAAACTTTTATACAGTGTGTTAGGCCACGCCTGGGAAAAATTTTAATGGGAGATTCTGGGAGCCAAAATAAGACGAAAATCAAGAATAGCAATTTATTGATCGGGGCTTCGTTAAAAAGTTATTAACGTTTTAAGTTCCGCTTGTAGAGCGGCGATCTGCGAACAGCTGCGCACGCGCGATAGTAGTTCTCGGTCAGAAAACTGTAAGGCTGTCGATACATCAGTAAGTAGAGACATTAATAACTTTTAAACGAAGCTTCAATCATCAAATTGGTATTCCTGATTTTCGTCTTATTTTGGCTCCCTACAATCTCCCATTAAAATTTTTCCCAGGGGTGGTCGAACACCCCGTACAAAGCTCATTATTTACTTATCAAAAGGTGTCTTTTGTCGCCTTTGGTAAAAAGAATAGCATTAAATATCTTTCCAAATAATCTCCAAAAAAAGTTTGAATATAATCAGCGACCTCTTCTTACAAACCGATTTTTGCGTGCGTGTGTTATAACCGTTAATCATTAGTATTATTATTACCATTAAGCGTATCAAATTCGTCATTGTCGTTTGCGCAGATAGCGTTAAAAAGAAGTTTTTTGACTTTCGACGTCGCCCAACGAATCAAAACGACATCCATGAAAGTGAAATAAAAATTAAAAAAATTAAAAAATATATATATATATATAAAAAAGAAAAAGGTGCTATCGCGTAAATCGAGCCTTACGTAAGACGATCCAGATCGATAATTAGAACAACGAACGCTTGCGATTTGTCGTCGACGAACTCGCGAAATCCATGATGACACGCTGCTTCGTGCATTTTAATCGAACCAGCTTGTTTCGTTTCAAGTTCTCGCGAGCACTTTCCTTCCATTTCTTCCTTCGTGCTTGTAACGCCAGAGGGAATCGAAAAAGAAGAATATTATTTACGGAAAGTATGTTTCGCTGATATTAATGTTTACGCTGCTATCAAATTGTTTCTCGACAGCTTTTAAGATACGTCAGAATGTGCATTCGAATGCAATCGATGGGGTACGATGTCGATCGTGTGCCAAAACGTGCGTAACGATCTGTATTGTACTTGAAAGAACGAATAAAAAAATGTAGAATAAAATGTTTTCGTACGACGCGTACGTTTTCGAAATGATCGAACTTTAATATACACGGGGCACAATATACTCCAACGACACGCTCGTGGGTCGCGACTGCACTAGTGGATCAATTTTTTCTGGAGCACGTGTTCGACATTTCCGTTCAGGAAACAGATTTCTGGTTAAAAGTTACTACTTTTGTCTATTGTACACAATAAAATAGTTAAACGCATGCCCCGTGCGTTGTCAAAGTCGTTCGTATCGAGAAACGAAACCTCGTGCTAACAAATTTTATTCCACGTTCGTTTTGGCGAATTAGGTTATGTCCTGTATAACGACGGGTTCAAGCTAGCCGTGGGACCGATTCGATACTTGCTCATGCTGTTCACTTATTTGGTTCTTTACGACGAACAAATATTTGAGAATTAATTGTTCCTACACCAAAAAGAGAGATACTTTTTCCCCGAAGCGGGAAATATTGTACTCGACGAACAATCTGGAATTTATATTCACGAACACGTATTGAGCTGTATCCCATCGCTAGGCTAACTCGATATTAAAATTACCGTCGTCTAGATCGTAAATATCGTTAGATTTTGTACCTATATACCGTGAGTGGTACAAATAAAAGTTTGCTCAACATTTTTGTGCATAATACTTCGAACGTGTGCAAGATTCTCCGTAGCTGTTTTGCATATTAGCACGCAGAGCTCGCATGATTTCGCCGAATCAATGAACGGAATATTTGTTCGATGCTCAATATTCTTCGGTAGGAATATTATTGCAGATATACACCGCGAATTTTACATTGTTCTCGTTTAAGCATAAAATACCTTTGGTTGCAAATTGCTGGCACATGTTTGCTAAGAAATCGTACGATGTATCCGCGTAATATGCGTAAGTAACAATGTTTTGTAATTGTTTTGTACGATGCTCAAAATAATTGGAGGGTCGTCTGGACCTAATCCAGGGCAAGTCTCAGACATTCATTTGAAAAATACTATTGTATTAACCTTAAAAAGCCTTCGAGAACATGTACCTGTTCCTCTGACTGTTTTGAGCAGTGTACTATAGTTAAATAAAAGAAACGATATCAGTTGACTGCTCGAGGTCGCTTTTTTGACTTTGTATCGTGATTAAAAATTATATCTACGTCTACTTGGCCCTTCGTTCGAGCAATAGAGTGTGCGTCAACAGTTTCGCGCTAAGAGACGATAGATGGCGTTGGAAAGTTTTGCATCGTAGAAAGGCTCAAGAAACGTGAATGCATAGCAAGATCAGAGCTCCAGAAACTTAATAGAGCCGATGGAAAACATATTTTTAGGATAGTCGACATCGTTTAACAATGTTCCTTCGCTTCGTTACCTTCGAGTAAAAAATAACAATCTTCTATAAACGTGTACAAAAACAAACAAGACAGTAAAACGATAGAAAAAAGACAGAATTTATATAAAAGAATTAGAGACGATCACCGAACATTTTCTACTGTGTCGCACCAGCACGGAATTCTGTCTTTTGTGCTTTTAATCCTTGAGAGTGACGCGAGGTTTCGTGGTTCGAAACGGACACATACAATAATCAGACAATAACGAATTCTAAAATGCACAATCGTACAGACACGTCGTTTAGAACATGCATTGTGTTTTCGACGGAACGCCGGGATAGTTGAAAAACACGATTCTAACGGGCTGTAGGATTCTGTGGGAAATAATACTGTTCGTGCCTCGAAAGATGTTCGCGGCGAACATTTTACAAGGTTCGGTGTTATTTGCGGTTGTACTAAAGAAATTGAATATTTCTCACGCTTCTTGTTCGCAAAACTACCGGCAATAGGGACACGCAAGTTTCGAGGTTTGGCGGGAGAACATCTTTCGAAGCATCATCGCCGTGTATAATATAGTAGGGAAGTTTAAATCGTGCTTATAAAACGAGAAAAAAAAAAGAATCATTAGATGCCGTGGTAATCGCGATCGGCAAGGATTAAAATCACGAACACGAGAAACTGTTAGGCTTCTCGACGTGTAAATGCTGTCTCTATTGTACATACACTCGTTTTTCATCAACACCGATCAAATTATAAATCAACGCAACAATTAACATTGTTCGATACTTTACGATAGTGCTGAATCTGTGTACCGTGATTCTTCTTTGCTCGATGAGGCGGCGATTAACAAATTGTTTGACAATTGTAAAAATCTCGATAGACAAATTACAAAGATTTTAAATCGTGAGGTACGAGGTTCGAAAACATTACATACATTGAATAAACACTATCTTAATGTACCTTTATTTTATTCAGAAAATAAAGTCCATAGCTTAACGAGCAATAAATCACATGTTCGATTAATTAAACATTCTGATCGATATATACACCGTTTGTTCAGGATTTTTGCAATCGTCCAATTAATATTGTTACGGCATTAATTCGTTACTTGCGTGAAAGCGTTCTAATTGAATATATCATTGTATTGTCAATTACATTTTAGAAAGTACTTTGTAGTATTTTTATCTCTTAAATGGATTCAATCAATTCCGTCTTTTTACACATCCAGCACGCTTATTATATGTATATATATATATATGTATATGTGTGTATACGTATTCTAAGCGATTCTCGGGTCTGGTTGATCTAACGATACGTATCAATTAGACTAATTTGCTTGTAATCACAATGTATTGCTGTAATTCGAGTCCTAAACTGTATCGACTGGAGCGGAGAAAGCAATCGATTACAATTAAGAAAGAAAGAAATATACCGTTGTAGTCCAGTATCGAGACGAGTTAATCAAAATATAAATAATCGATCTTGATGTCTTCGATATTACAACCCTTTCTTCTCCCATCGCAGCCCTTAAGTCTGGACCGTTTACAAACGTAACAATATCACATGGAGGTTTATAATTGGCATCAATTAGGTCTCTGTTCACTCTGGAACGAGGTGTCTCGGTGCACCCGGGGTTTCGTCTGGCATTTCTGCATATGATTAGCGTCTTCATTTTGTGGCGACAGGTGTGTTTTCTGTGGCGAGGATTGCGCTCTACGTTACCGACGGAAGGTTTGAAGTTGGGGCACAAACGAGGCATACGAGTAGACTTTTCACCTAATGTATTTTTTCGGCCCGTTTCTCTGGGGTCCCGGGACCCCATTAGCATTTTCACAAATGAATTTTAATCCCTTCTATAGTCAACTCACATGGATTTACGCAAAACTACAGCTGTTTGCCCATCGGTACTAATTCAGTGAATAATTTCTCAACTGACCGCCATCCGTGAGAAGAGGACGCTAAAATCACCGCCTTTTTCGCTCACGTATGGCAATTGTTCGAACTGACGTATAAAAAGACAAAAATTAACGAGATACACTCTTCCAAAGTGGAACAAAATGTTAAAAAGATCATGCATCAAATTGTAAGGGGATCCTCGTAAGAAGGCTTTAAACTTTGTAATGGTTTTAATGGGTCGATGATCAACAATGACTAGCTTATGGTCACTGGTGGTCAACAGTGAGGTTGACATCAAGGTCAGCGGTCCAGTGAAGATCCAGAAATGGTCAAGAGGTGAGACCAATCGAAATAGTTTCTTTCTAGACAAGACAATCTTAACTGTTAACTTCAGCTTTGGTCTGACTGGCTTCCCCACCCTTTCATCACCTTAGACATATAAGCAGGGTCACTGCGAAGAATTCTTCAGTCTCGTCGCGGATTCGGGAGTGGGCAAATAGCCTGAAGTGAACCGGGGACCGCTGCTGACCTCTGCTGGCCGCTGCTGACCATTACTGGCCAGCGCTGACCATGGCTGACCATGGCTGACCAGGGCTGACCAATACTGACCAATACTGACCACTACTGACCAGTGCTGACTCGCGTTCCTGTCACTACTGACCACTGCTGACCACTGCTGACCACTACTGACCAGTGCCGGACGGTGATGACTACGGTAAGAACTGTTTAAAAATTCTCTCCCCTCTTCTATTCTATCGTTTGATACCAATTTCGTTTCAATGAACTGATTTTGCCTTGCTTGCCTAACTGCTGTTGCTATAATATGAATATTTTCTTACTTTACAGCTCGTCCAGTGGTAACTATCCTGTATACTGACAACAAGTAGTAAGTCCACTCCACTTATTTATATTTTATTATTTTTATTTGTTTGCTTGATGTGAATTCAACTGTATTTATCTATCTGATTTTATTTGGTTATTATGAATGTTCCTTTTCTATGTTTCTACTTTCACATTGTTTGTCGAATGTATGTGATTGCTTTGATATGTATAGTATTGCAGGATATAATAATGTAGTATTGTTTTCGATCATATACTATATTCGTTTCTACACGATTTCATGAATTTTTATTTTCACCTTCTTGCTCGAATTCTCGTAATATTCTGCGGAGGTACTTCGTTTGATTCTTCCATTTCGTTTGATTGTTTGGTGTTGATTCAATTTGGTGTCTCGATCCAAGTTCCTATCGTTATTACGAATGGTCGTTTTGAGTTGTATCACAATGGGGCGATGTATATACTGTATTCGTTTCGATGATACTGATCATTAGAAGTATGTTCGTTTTGATACGTATAACATGGCGTCGATTGATATGCCATATTTGTTTCGACGACACTGATTAATATAAGATTTCTATTTTTACGTTTAGCCCCTTTAGCTAGGTGATAGATTATTTTTAAGTGTTTATTAAATTTCCTACCATGTCTCACTAATATAAATATTAGTTTTGATTTCAGTTTAAATTTGGATTAATCGCAAGGACACCGAGGGAGAACGCCGCGCCCGCCGAGGGACTTTTAATTCCGAGTTGATTAGTCTTAAGCTTCGTCGCGAGTATTAAAATTAAAGTCGAAGCCTTCTTTATTATACGTGTCTCCGCGTCCTACCAAGCAATTATTCAATAAGTAGCTTGTCTTTCGCTCGTTCCCTCGTTCCTAGCTTCGGTCACCGCTGTTTCATCGATTGAAACATGTGATCGGCCGTGTAGCTGGCCCGACAGATCTAACCGCCTTCCCTTGGTAGCTCGATCCAGGGAAAATGGTACTCTGCTGGAAGGTGTGGAGTATCCGTATCCTGCGGAAACGCATACCTTCCAGCGGAAGTCGACACTGAAACAGAGGTACTCTCTCTTTGTCAGACAACTTGAGTCGGGTCCTTCGGGCTCCCGGCGGGTTGCGTTGGAGCAATGGAGACCTTAGATTCGGAGTCGCAGCCGTCCGTTATCCTGTAGAGATCTAGTTAGCAAGGGCAGTAGGTTCGATCCTCGGATCCGCTGCACGGTTCAGCTTCGCGTCGCGTCGCGTCTCGTCGCGTGTCCCTCAAATTAACTTCGTCCCTCTTTTTGACCAAATAATTGCTTGGTACAACTAAATCAGAACATCCAAGAATGTTCGTTTCCTTCTATCGTCCGAATTTTAGTTTTAACTTGACCAGACTTGAGCATTCGACGTTAATTTTAAGTCCCTATTGTACGCGTCTCCCAATATTGCCAAGTAATTATTTAACAACTAGCTTCTCTCGACTCGTTCTCCGGTTCCTAGCTTCGACCACCACTGTTTCATCGATCGAAACATGTGATCGGCCGTCCAGTTTGTCCGAAAGATCTAGTCGCCTACCCATGATAGATCGATTGCTAGAAATAGGAATCAATCTACCAAGGGCAGTGTTGATTCGATCCGAAGATCTGCTGCACGGTTCAGCATCGCGTCGCGTCGCGTATCCCATAATTTAGCTTCATTCCTTTTTAAACGAAATAATTACTTGGTAGCTAAGCTTAGCTAAAAGGGAGATCGATGGAACTTTGATTCCATCTATCTCCCTTCGGGTCTCCACTCGCAGCAACCTCCTCGTGGTGAGACCTGGTAATCGGTGTTACCCACGATAGAAAAGTTCTTCTTCGTGGGTACACCGAGCTAATGGCTGCGAATTTAAAATAGTTTCTTTAAATTCGATGTCGAATATACCCAAAGTCTTTCTTTACTTATTAAAATATATCATTAGATTGACGTGCAAGAAGATATTTCGCGACGAATACATTTTAGAGTCAAAGTAACCTCGTATATTATGTACTATTTTTACTTTCTCACTGCACTTGCCTGGAGTTGTAGTATTTGTAGTTTTACAGATTCAGTGTTGTTTTCTTACTAATCTATTAAACAAGTTTCTGTTACAGAGCATATTCCTATGGAAGTCTTAGGTTTATAAAGGTAACAATTAAGAATTGCTACAATTTTGTTTAATATTGCTTTGTTTGTGTTTCAGGAAATCATCGTGGGATAAATAGAAGATAGAAGAAAGAAGAATGTATTTCATGTATTTTGTTTCAGATTGCTCAGTTTATGTTTTAATAATTTAGATTTATAGTTAGGTAGGATGTAACGGTATGATTCAGGAAATCTTCGTCGAAGGATCAACAAGGAAGTATATATTTTCTATGTATTTTGTTAGATGATTAGATAGGTAGGATGTAAACGAATTTAGATTTATAGTTAGGCAGGAGTTTTCTATATTAATCATTATATCGGGCGGGCAATACTTTGGTCTATTTCTCTGTTTTGTTGATGAGAATTTAGACGTAAATTCTTTCTCAACAAACTCTTTCGTTGGTTGTTTCCTTCGTTGGTTGCACTTTCGTTTGTTTCTTCTTCGACCAACGATTGTTGGTCATAGATTTTTATTAATGGAGGGTGGTTGGGAATCGGTTAGGGCGGGTCTCCATTCGCAGCAACCTCCTCGTGGTGAGACCTGGGTAATATCATTTAGCGTTTAATTAATAATCGTATCACTCTTAGCTGGGTAATGCAATTATTAATTAAAAACTAAATAATATTAGCAAATTGGCTGCGATCCGCTTTGCATAGATCATCGTAAATATAGAACTTCTTCGGTTAGTTTCGATTCTCATTGATTCATCAAAGATTCAATAGTATTGTCGGAGACAAGGTATACGGATAGATCTTAGTTTAAAGTTTCCCTTGGCATCATTTTGAGGCATGAAAATAAATTTCAACTTTGGTCTATGTTTATCAAAAATATTATTACTGAAAATACATCGACATACAAACAACACAAACGAGGGCCGTAGAATGAATCTAAGCAAACAGTTACGTATAAGATAATTGCATACGATATTATACGCTTCTAACAATTACACAATGAATAATATCACATTCTCCAGATTGCTTCTCTTCCGCGTTGGATCTCTCTACAGTAGCATGGCGATGATATCTATGACTCCAATAAGATCGACAGTTCTCCATTGTCGTTCGACGTATATACACTTTTCTATTTTAGCAACATACAGAGACGTACATAAAATATTCTCTACGCCAATAACGTGTCCTGGGCACCGTTAACAACTATCAAAGATTAAACTTAACCTAGAAATCAGATTTCCAACCATTTTATGTACATTTTCTCCCATTACGGGATACAATTAAATAACAACTCACTAATCTCTGCGCGAGTTCTCGAGTAGATTTCAGTTTGATCGGATTTAAGATTCAACTTGCTTGTCCTGTCGGTCCTTTATAGACTGCGGGCAGAGTTGCCAGCAGTCGGTATAAAATGGCCGCCAGTGAGGATTCGATACACCTTGTGTTTGACAAATTTTGTGTGTGTATATACAGAATATATCGTTCAGTGAATTTAGTTTGTCGGTGCAGGAAGCAACGAGCTTTCTTATCTCGAATTTGTACGGTTCAGTAAAGGGTACAGAAGACTATGATCAACGCGCATCACCGTAAACCTGATACGAATATATTTCCAAGCATTTCGCATTTCTCGTACCTCTGTTCAATTTACTGCCTACTCATATACAGTACATAATTCGAAATTTCCATGTTTTACAATGGAAGAAGCATACTTACACATCATACGGGGCCTCCATATTGTTCTCGACACGTTCACTGGACCAACAAAATAGTCCTCCTCTACTATTAGCGCTTCCGTCGGAGAAACGATGAAATACAATTATTCTACCGGATCTGGCAGGAGATATGTATCATATTCTGTTTCTTTGTTTCTCCACTGGCGGTGTTAGTAGTAGGGAGGACAACTACTGTTTGGTCCAATGTTCATTCGAAACTATTGGATCCAACCAATACCAAACAGTAACAATAGAGCTAATGTGTACAATTAAACAAAAATTAAACGCCATTTATTAGAAGAAACGAGAGGACTGTGTGTTTCGTTTAATATTTTATTTTTAAACACACTACTGGCCTCTAATAGTGGATACAGCAACGAAATACGAACAGTAGGACTGTGTCAAGACAGGGAAAAGGGCATTATATCGTAAGGGCTGCCCTAGACGTGTCTACGTGTCAGCGACTTTAATACCAGGGAGCTTTATCTCTTTTTGGACGACCATTGAAAACTCAGCGAACAGGATTCATTTTTTTCGTAATAATTATGATTGATAAGGATCAGTCTTGTTGATGTCGAATCGGTCCAAGGCTAAACCCCCAGGAATTCCTCCGTTAAAACTTTCAATGTACACTATGGTTCGTGATTCCCGGCAATTTATTCGGATTAACGCGTTTTACGGTTGGCGTCACGTCCTCGCAAAAACACCCGGAAAGTTTTCGACTAACCTCTAATCCCATTAATTCGCAAAACGATTTTACCCATTGGGGTGGGAGGAGGGCGCTGTGATAGAATTCTTTGACTCTCTGCTTCTTGAATTCCATTTAACCATTTAATATTCTTTAGTATAAGTTAATAAATGTTTTGATATTTATGGAATTTATGGAAGCTGTTCCTAGGGATTAGTTTCCGAAATCAAGAAAGTTTTGAAACGATTGCTCTGTTGCTTTACCTGCATGTTGAGTTTTAGGTTACGATTGGTGGGGCCAAGGAGTAAGGTTGGTTAGCTCTGAGTTTGATTTGGATTCTTAAATACAACTTAAACTTAAATCTGGGTTGGATGTGGTTAGGTCGATTAGTCTAGAGTATGATTTAATACTCTCTACGCTTGGTTAGGTTAGGGTACGGCGGAATTAGGTGTTGTTATGTACAGGCTAGATCTCTACCATGTCGGAGTCACTTGGACAGGTTTAAATTTGTCAAATATACAGCAGACTCGGTTTTAGAATATGGGCAAGCTCATTTCATACGTGACAACTCGATAGTCTAGTTATTCACATTGAAAAATGAAATGCCTCCGTTACTTAAACTAGATTCATTCGACGTCACGTAAGGATCTCCTGCATTTCCTCTCTAATGATTCGGTCATTTCACTCGAGATGTCAGCCCAGTTTACAATGCCCTCTTTGCATCATTTCGCATGAAACGAGTGGGTCGTTTAGTACCGCGTCAAATGCGAGACTTCATTACTGTTCATTACCGTTTCCGTGTCACGTATGTAATACCAAACCTTGCTCGTCCGCTACTAATTAAACCTGTTTGTTTAGGCCACGGATCACCCTTCAAGCGGGCCTCTCATCGTTCGCCTCGTGCACATTGCACATGGTCATCGAGAATTCCTCCCGTCGGAGCTCGTTGGTCCCCAGAATGCGATTTTCCGGTACGGTGTAGGTGGTCCTTCTGGCAAGCTTCAAAGACTCTAGACCAGGATACCACTTTAACAGTCGCCACCATTTCTTTCCGGAACCGTCGACGCTCGATACTTTCACCGTCGTGTATTTGGCTGGCACAGACCTTCTCGAATCCTCGTTCTTCCGATCCCTGAAAGAGCCCTTATTGCGGACGTCATCGACTATCTTCGTGTCTCTGATCTCCCTACCGTTCGATTCCGTCAGTTTCTTCTCGGTTTTCCGAGCCTTCGTCGTCGTCTGTTCCATCAACGAGGTGGTCTGCTTCGGGCCATCGTCCCGGCCAGAATTCCCGGAACAATCCGTGCTCTCGCGAGGCAGCGCAGTGCCTGCCGTAGCAGCTGTCCTGGAGCTGTAGGTGCCCATCATCCTTGGCTGGGATTTGGATAGACTGGAGTAGGAACGTTGACCGTTTCGAAGCGCCATACCTGGGAGCCTGCAGCCCTTCCACAGTGTTTCCTGAAAAAACAAAATTACAGCTCGTTGGTACGTGGGCTGGAACGGCGGGCGAAGGGTCGATCAGGGTTCTTCTTCGTTCGCGTTGCTATTGCACAGAGATCCACACACTGTCGAGATGAGGGAAAAAGCGTAGGAGTTTCCGGGATTCCCCCTTACACGTTCGAGGACGATGATTGTGGAGATTTTAATAGATAAAAGTTAGACACTACTTTGCCCCTTCACTCCAGGGAGTCGACGTGTCTGAAGAAGATTTGTTTCAAGTAATAAGAAAGGGGATTTCTATAATGGTGGGACTTCAAAGTCCTTGGAGCATTGGAGCATTAGCTTTGGGCCATCATGGGTCCCACAGTCATTGACACAGAAATATGAGGCTAAATTAAGAGAAGAGAAGTATCATTCTCATATGTACTTTGGGATTCCCAGAGTCTCCTTATTGCGTACTTGATAATAGCCACTATGGAGGGTTTGGTCAGTAGAAATCTCATACCACAAGATTCCAGTAGTGGAAATGCTCCAGCCCTAGGGGGCGACACTGCTACACTCTAAGTTCAGCACGATGAGAGATGAGGTAGACTAGTATGACGGTGGGTATATTAATCGTTGCAAGCAATTTTCTTTCAACTCGTGGCAGAGCGAACAAAAGATACTGTTTTAATCAATGAATGCTACTAAATCGGAGGGGGTAAAGTTCCCAACGACAGAACAATTGGTTAGACTTCCATTGTTGTATCTCTGGTTGGCTCCGCCATAAAGTGCAGCGAGTGGTACACAGAAAATATCTGCAACGGCTAGAAATAGCAGATAAAATTCGCGGACCCTTAGCTTCCGTCACTCAAGCGTGCGCTACCCCGTCTTTGCACCTCGCTGCTCTTAACGAGGTCGCTGTATCTCTTCCACTGCGCTTCCTTTCGAGTTCCATCCACCCACGGGGAGACACGACGTTACTCACCATGAAAGCAACGCGGAATTTGTTGGACATGATGTTGTAGAGAATAGGGTTAATCGTCGTGGACACGTAGTAGAAAACGCCAGATATGTAGGTCATGAGAAGATGGAAGTTCTCTATCCATATGCTGTTCGAGGATATACGGTCTGGTTTCGTACCGTATATGTAGACCAGTCGTTGCACGTGAAATGGCGCCCAGCAGACGAAGAATGCTATCACCACCGCGACTGTAACAGAGTTAACGTGATTTAGTTGATTGAATATTCTTCGCTGTGAAGTCAAGGACGAGCAATCAGTAGCAGTTTACGTTCTAATTGATGTCAAGGAAACATAATTTATTTATTGGCATGGTTGTAATTGGCCCAAAGCACCGTTCGATAGAACTTGGAATCTTGTGTTTGAACGTAGTATATATCTATGCACTTTCTACGTATGGCTACAAAATGGATTCGTGAAACAATGTGATGGAATTGTTGCATTAAATCATCCAGTCATACATTTTGATCGCGATAGGAAGCATGATTTTCCATTAACAATCGGCCATAAATTACCATTCATTTCCACTAAATTTAACTACTCAAGCACCGGAGTTTACCAAACGCCAACATATTGCACTTAACATGCGTCGAAGGGACGCCAATATTAATGGCGTTTTGCGTACAACGTTGTGAACGAAATGTTGCAAAAGCGAATCACCAAGCGACTTTGTAGATTCTTGACGTAATAGATAGGAAATATGTTTTCTAACAGTCATTATTAATGTAAAATATTATTTTGATCAATCTCTAGCAAGAATTCCATTTTATTTTTTTTATTCTTGCGAGTATTATTCAGCAGGGAATTCCATATAAGTATCAAGTTTAAACAGCTCAAATGGCGTTGAAAGTAAACGATAATAATCAATGCCTTGCCGAGCAGTTCATTAATAATCAAGGCCGAGGAAGGTTTTTTAATTTAAGAAAGTACTTACTTCCATAAAAGAAAGAACATCTTAAAAAGTAATGCTCCAGGTTTTAACAGCCATTATTAAATGCTTCTTTTGCAGAGACTGAAGTCCTGTTGTTATTAATTCTTTTTTTAACAAGATTGAGAGTCACTGGTTCAGGGGTTAATATTTCTACGCAAGCCAAGTATTTTAAATGGACTTTGGGCAGAAAAAAAAAATCCAAACGACAATTCTTTTCGAGATGCAGCTGCACGTTGTTATTAACCTAATCTTTTTCTTGAACTTTAAAGTTCCACGTCCAACGGACTAATTAAAACAATTTTATTCCTTGCTGTAAAAGTCTTCTCTGTCCAGTAACTTCTAGATAATTTTCAACGTTTGTTATTATTAATTTATGAATAGAAGTGATTTAAAAAAACGAGAAAAGTGAAGTTAGTAGAAAATATATTTCGTGTTCCGACTCCCCCCCCCACTTTGATAAACAATATTCTAGGAAGTTAAGGGAATATTTGCTTAAATTTTCTGCCACGAAAGGTTCAGCCACGTGGTAATTAACGAAGCAATTAAGGAGGGATTTATACTTCGTGAAGGCTTTCCACGTGCTTGCTGGATGAGTAATTAAAGGTGGTTTTCTTCCGTCAAACGCAATAAACTGCGGGTCTTTTCTGGTTACGTTTACACAAAAAGACAGCAAGAATATTGGTGTAAATATCTGTATATGGTTGTCATGTTTAAAATAAATATTTCAGCAAACGCAATTTGTACTAGCCCTCTGGTGGCGAATGCGAGACTTAATGTCAGAGGATTATGGGTAGTTATAAGTCCACCTCATCCGCCAGTCTATTGCACTACTGGCGAGGTGATTTATTATTTATTGTAGCACGATGATTCAATTATATTCTTCATTTTCATTAGTCGGTATTAGCTGCCTCGTGCCCTATTAATTTCCCGGCGTTATTAGTAAACGCTAAACAGCACTTGTTGCCATCGAATATCGTCCATTAATGAATAAGAACTTCTAAACGAGCCACGTACTAACTGCAAAAACGCGTCCCGGTTTTCCCATTCCCAGGGTTAATTAATTTACGAGATAGGGGTACAGCTACACGTTAGAAATCCTCATCGACCCTTGTCGAAGTCAGGTTAAGAGGTTCGGAGGCTAATTCGATAAAATTCATATCAATCAATAATAATCATCGGTCCCCCGGCTATTTATCGACCAGCTATAATCATGGAGCGCCGTATATGTTTTCTCGAACCGATTATTAATCGTTTGCGGCGTCGACAGGGGGTAAATTCGATATCGACGACCGTGACGCAAAAAAGTCACCCGATTACGCGAGAGGAATTATGTATCAGGCCATCCTCAAAGTTCTGAATTTGGGGCAGAAAGCAATATCTCAAACATATGAATTTAATGAAAAAAATTGTCCCCCTCCACGCTCCAAAACGTCTTATTCTTTCGGCCATCGCTATGGAACTTCTTTGATAGTTTATTCAAATATTGTTTACCCATTAGAAAGTTCTTGGAATTAAGATTAATTGCGCAATCTCTTAGAGTGTAATGAAAAATGCCCAGGGTAATGAAATGTTTGAACATCTGTTGACATAACGTCCCAGCATAAAAAATTAAGTGTCTCGTAAAGCGTTTTAAACGATCGTACCCTAATATTTTTATAGGCGGAACGACGAGAGGAATTGATTTATGTAAAATGAAAATTTAAAAAGCAAGAAATACTGTTAGAATTATATTTATCTCTAGTTTGAGGTTAGGCTTTGAACTGGCCAATCAGGGCCAAGTTCTCGAAGGAAGTTATAGGTTAGAAATTCTCGATTTGCAAACACCTCATAAGGGCGCCAAAATTAAACGATATCGATAGGTCGCGTATGATCCAAGTTTCGTAACCTCGCATTATTGACCATGATATTACGAAATTGCAATATCTCGATGATTAAATCTCGTATCGATCTAGTCTTCGAACCGTGCATTCATCACCTGTTGGCGTTTATCGCACGGTGGATGATAGTCTGGGAAAAATTGACAAATGACCGGGTAATATTGACGATGGGCTATCATCGCGCGGGAAATGTGTGGCTTTGCCTATATTACACATTTTTCATCGTGAATTTTTATAGCAGGATTAACGTTAACTGGTTTCCTTGGACTCGGTTTTAAATCAAGTCGGACATTTTTACACCATTATTCGAGTAACAGTTTGCTCAGATATACGCCGATCAATAAATAAAAACAAAATCGAAAAGAAGATATTTGAATTTATACAGCTACAATTGCAGATGCCTTAGAGATTTTGGGATCCTCGATTCTGTCGTTTTGTGGATTGTAAACGTGCTGGAAGTAACTTTGTCATCCATTACATCCCATCAGCATCTTCCTGGCCGAGAAGTTCACGCTTTTGGCGTTTATGGGGGCGAAGTTCGAGGCCATTTTTCACCACTTGTCGAAGTGATCGATCACTTCTTCCGGTTTCACGGCTAATCTCCCCCATCGTGACCCTCGGATTTCGTTTGATTAGTTTTCGAATGGTCTGTTGTCAGAACTTTCGACAGTGACTCTCCCCCGTCCTGGATGGTGCTTAGCACGTTTAATTGCAGTGGAAATCGTTGTTACAAATTACGAGACGCGTATTATTCTCTGATAGAAACAAATTTTTTTTCTTGATTTCTTGATTCTTACTTTGGCGAATGTTGTACGCAGTCGAAGCAAGGGCCATTAATTTTAGCACACCCCGTGTATGTGTACATTATCTTCGATTTTACCCCTTGGCACGCAAGTCAAATAAAACATTTACTATCCGGCCCTTCTTGTAACAAGTTTGCCAAAGCCTGTTTGAGAACAGATAAATAAGAGGAGGCAAAAATAAGTTGCTGGAAAACGAAAAACTATAGATCAGGCCGTTGTTTCTCAAACTTTTTTTTATGCTCGTGGCCCCCTTATGAGTTTTTATTTATCTTCGTTGCCTGAAACCTCTCGTGATTGCCATTCCTTGGCAAAATAACAGTATACTTAACGATTATTTTTAAAGATTTTTCAATTCATGAAAAGGACTGTTGGATCTCATTTGTCAAATTGCAGAGGTTTAAATTAAAGCAAGCTTTGAAAAATTATCGATTCTATTATGTTTAATTAACATACACGACAGAGGAAGGGAGAATTTTTAATTAAAAGGAAACCAGAGTGTAGTATAGTTGTGGAGGTAATCTTATTATTAATAAGAAACTGAAGGATATGAAGACAGAGTCAGTTGGTAATTGCTGGCTATGCAGGGAGAACTTTCCTCCTTCGTTACATCCCCTTTAACTTTTCAATTAGGTAGCCTGGTTTTGGTCCACCCATTCGAACGAGGTCCTTCCATGCGACTGGGGTGGCAGGAAGGGATTATGGCGCTGGGAGGGCAGGGGGGTGGAAAAGAGACGGTACACAATAAGGACGTCTCGTCCTGTTTCTGCTAAATGGACTCATCAATAAGTTGCTCTAAAACTTAAAGCCTTGACTTAGATTTCAGAGCTAGAATGTACAGGAGGAAGGTTGGCTCAATAGCTCTCTGATAGTGAATGCAGGAGGTTGTCACAAAGTGTTATCTGAAAGGATGATGAACGATTTTCTGGGTAAGAGCTTTACCCAGGGAGTTAATACTGGTGTGATTTTCATACCGATATTATGACAGCAAAGCTGTACCGAAACTGATATATTACGTGTATCGGTTGAGCAGGGCTGGATCACGTTTAGTGTGAGGTTAGTTTACGTATGTATCAGGCGAGTTGTTAGATTCCACTTGTATTAGGTAAATTTGATCTAAACTAAGCAGTACGTGGTCATTCTATATTTATATTACATTGCTGATAGCCAAATTAGGTCTACGTAAGAGTCAGGTTAAACTCAGGTGACATAGTTATTGACCCCCCCTTCATCCAAGTAACTAATGCTCATATTATGATTAGACCTGGTGACTATGGGCCTCCGGCTTCTTAGGAATCATAATTGTACAATGACATTAGGTGGAGATGATGTGGGGGGCCGTTCTAATCATAGCGACACTGTGCTGTGCCTTGATGGCTCCAAGGGTTCCAGCACCGCATTTGAGGCCATTATATGATTTTTGGTCGGTGCAAAGTTTAACCAGACCCTGCCACATGGTCAGGGTACCCCGTGAAAAATTTTTCACGCGTAATAAAAATGGTTTGGCGTTAGTTAGCCTCGTGTACGCGTAAATGCAGTCGCGCCACGATCGATACGACTAATCTAATTTTTGAGAACGTCACCAGCACTGTTCTGTTTTGTATACGTTTCTTAGGACCATGATAAACGAGCACCCGCGACAGTGTTTTGCTACTGTTTCGACCAAGTCTTGCAAGAAAGGAGATCCCGGAGTCGTGGGTCTCAAATTTAATGATACATTTGCTAATGAATTATTGAGATCCTTCATCCAGGACCTACGGAACCGGTCGGGGCAGAGTAATGTAAACTAAAATTCTCGTTTATCATGCTACGAAGGACTCGGGTACGACTGGAAAATATTAGCTAACGATTTTCAGTGCGTCTAATTATGATACGTCTACACGAGGTAGCTAATGGCTGTGCTAGGTCTAGACTAGGTAACTAACGATTAAATCCAGTCTACACCAGGTCATATTAGGCCTTAATGAGGTAGATGACCGTGTTAGGTCTAGAAAAGGTAGCTAATTTCTATATAAGGTCTGGGTTAGATGTCTAATGATCGTGCCAAATCCAGATGAAGTAGTTAATCACCGAGTTACGTCTGGACAAAGTAGCTAATACTTATGGTAGAATTACGCGAGGTAACTGTTGGAGCTACCAGGTCTAGACGAAGGAGATAATCATGTTAAAGTTGGGTGAGGTGACTAATGATCCTGTTAGGTATGGATTAACTCTGTTCAAGGATGTAGAGAAATAGATTGAGGGCTATTAACTTTTTACTACGGAGAGATAGATTAGCTATATTTGTTTTATGTCCTGGGGAAGTCTACTTGAATCTGTTAAGTGTCCTCATGTAGGAGTTATTGAAGACATCGTCGTCCAAATAGAACAAATGAAAAAATGATGATAAAATCCGATTTCACAAAAGGAATATTAAAATTAATTATGGATAAAGATGGAGATATTTTATTATCTTTCGATTGAAATTTCTCAAATCGACCGAAACGATCTCTGCTTGTTGCCTTACGAGCCAGTTTAAACTAGCAAAACGTCAATATTCGTAAATCATGGTTGATCGTTGTTTGAACAGCGCTGTATACATATACTTAAGCTTCTATTACAAACAGTATACTAAAATAGCGACGGTGTCCCATCCTGCGTAGAGTAGACTTTATTGCTACGTAAAAGCAATTCGATGAATACAATGTTCGTGCAGTCTACAGAACATTACTTTCCAGCACAAACGAACTATTTTACTTTATTTCTTCCCTCTCCATCATGGCGGGGCCACAGAGGGAACAAATAAAAACGATATTTTTCAACTAAAGTATCATGTCATTCATCTTCGACGCAGAAATGTTCTTTTTTAAAAAGTGGAGCATATTTAAAAAATTTTCTAAATTGCCATTCATGTTTCATCCATTGCAAATGGCCGTTCGTTTCGTGGTCTTGGAACATAAAATACGGTTGTGCAATATACTAACCAGGAAGACGTTTCTCAAGAATAAATTTTCGACTCATTTATGCAGTTTTACTTTGGTAAGGGTTCAAAGTGTAGTCGAATTTATTAATGACGCACAGATTCGTCGAACGACACCGAAACGGAGTCATTAAATTGGCGAAGAATTTGGTAACATTTCCTGGTACAGTTGCTCGCGGATAACATTTATATTATAATCAATTAGTATACATTAATTGTGGCTGTTGGTGATAATAATGTCGATTACCATCTGCGACTATTGCTGCATCACGGTGTCATAAATCGCGTAATCGGCCCATTAAAGTTTCGATGCGCTTTAAAGGTCGCCGAGATTATCTGTCGTATTTATATACGCTGTTAGCTATTTTGCAACAAAGGAAACAGATAGGTGTAATTACAGTCTCTGGTTATATCTAGGGAGAAAGCAAATTAGGTTTGGCGATCAAATGCTGTACAATGTCTATTTGATCGCGAAGTCTAATAAAGCCCATTTCTGTGTAATTATTAGCGTTAATTTTGGGGTAGAAACTGCGTGAAATACTTTGGAGCAAAGCTGGTAAGTCAATGGCGCCCTGATACTGAAACCCGACAAGGCGCCATATTTAAAAATCAAACGTTAACCTCACCACCTCGATCATATATAAAATTTAATAAATAAAACAAGAAATTTTGTTCGTAATAACGATGCAAAACATTCCTACATATCATGGTTCAAAATTAGATAGCGGAATGCAAACATTTTATACGTTTCGAGCATAAAAACAAACGAGAATAAAATGTTAATCTTTCTGGTCGATGAAGCAATATATAATTCTTTTTTTTATCGATCGTATAGTTTCGGAATAAATTCCCAAAAATTACTTTTCGGCAGAGAAAGACGACCACCTCCTTCGAAATGTTTAATTTTGTATAAAAAAAATATTTACGTTGGAAATACTGAATTTGCATGAAACTATGTTGTTTTCGGTTCGTTTATGAGGCACGTTCGAACTCAGAACCGCTGGCATCTTTGGGGATTTAATATTCCGTTACTGTCTTTCCGAAATTCCTCTTCCATTCTTGCTGAATAAAATGCAAAATTTCCGAGAGGTCGTGTATTAAAACAATATTCATTTTTGGGCAATATCTCATGAAAACGATCGTGTTTACCCCAACTACCGTCGAGAATCCAGAGGCCCGATTCCAAGGCAAACGATTACCATTTAATAATAACGTACAAACGAAGGAAGTGATGAACTTTAGTACTACTTTCGTAGTGGTACCATTCCCAGACTTTACAAAACGAATTTCATGTTTTCCATTGGGTCCCTTGCGCTAGAAAAATTCTCGAGGAAAAGAAACAGGTTTTCCATCTTGGAACTACAGACTTTCAATAACAAAGGAAGATTTGTCGTAATATTTCTCTTTTAAGGGGGTTGTGTATGAATAGAAATGAGATTTGACTTTTTATGGAAATTTTTGATATCCTGGAGTATTTAAAAGTCCATCAGTTTCCGTTCGAAATGTTTTCTGGTAAAAATGGTGAGAATTTCTAAAAAATCGTAGTCAGTGTTAAAAAATACGCTGTGTATAATCCCAGGATTTACCTGGACATTCGATTTTTGAATAGCTTTTTGAGATCAAAGGGGGTTACTTTTTGTGTGTAGGATAACACTGAAAACAGAAAAAGTTTAATCTCTTTCAATGTATATAAAAAAGGAAAGGGTTGACAAAGACAAGTTTAAAGGGTTGTTATTCTAATTTAGCAACGATTTACGATTTTTGAAATATTTAAAAAAAAAAGAATATAAAACCAAAAATTGTTGGTCTTGGGAATCTGACCCAAATTCTAACCAAACTTTTCCAACACTCTTGCTTCGATAATCAGCTTTCATACTGCTTCATTATCTCCGAGAAACTGAAAAACTTCTTAATTTAAAAATGATAGGGGGGTGAGTGGAAGAACTGATTAAAATTTGATCGCAAAATCAGTGAACAGTGTTGAGGTTCCTCTATCCTCATTAACCCACACGAAGCAGGGCTTGAAAACAGTTATAAAACAGTTGCAATGACTTTTTATTCCGAATAACTCTTACAAAGGACCTAAATTTCGGTCTTATATCGAGACAATACAGTTTCGACGCATAATCGAGAACAAATTGGCCAGCGAAATTTGGTAAAGGTTCTGCAACTCACCGAGCATCTTCACGACTCTCCTGGACGACCTGCCAGGCTGATGCTTGCAGCTTCCGCCCTCCTCCCTGCCAGGTCTCCTCTTCATCATGTTCGACTTCTTGAGCTTCAGCCCGATGAGGATGTAGAGCACAGTGATTAGGCTCATTGGCACCACGAGGAAGAATATGGTGGACAGCTGGAACGAGTACCTCACCAAGGTCCTCTTCAAGGTGCACATCACCATAGTAGGGTCTACCTCGTGTTCGACGATGCCGAACTGTAGGGCCTGGGGCAGTGCAAACGACAGTGCCACCAGCCACACGATCAGGATCAGCTTTACCACCCTGGACAGCTTGGACATGGTGTGGGCGAGGAAAGGATGACAAATGGCCACGTATCTCTCGATGGTGAACGCGGTGATGGTGAGCACCGACGCGTTGGTCGACGTCTCCGCCGCCAGGCCACGCAAAATGCAGAATCTCTCGCTGAATATGTAGCAGTACTTGCACCAGACTAAGTAGATCTCCCCTGGCAGGCCGGAGACCAGCAGCAACAGGTCCGACACCGCCAGACTGAATAGATAGTAGTTGGTCGCTGTGTGCATCGACTTGTTGCGCGCGATCACGATGCACGTGCTGATGTTGCCGATCAGACCGGTCACAAAGATCGTCACGTAGATGATGGTCACTGGGACGACTATGTAGAGCGAGTCTCTGCGAGAAGGCATCTGTTGGACCTTCTTCACCGGGTTCTCGAGCCTATTGCGATAGCTGTCGAATTCCTTCAAGTCGTAGATGGACTCGCTGCTCAGATCGGTGGTCATCATGCCTAGGAAGTCCATAGTGGTGAGTTCTATCTCGCCTTCGATCATATTGATTGTTTGCTCGCGCGGATAGTCATCGATTGATCATATTATCTTGGACACTGATTGAGGGATCGTTCGGTGGCCGTAGGATGGCGGTCCTCGGGAGGGGCGAGACAACTCGTTCGGTCCATTTAAGGGCCAGGGCACGCGGCTACCGGTTTCCACGCGAACTGGTTTTTTCAGTTTCGCGAAACGAAACGCTGTTGTTGTTGGGCACGGTGACACAGGGATTCGATGACACCCGGTGATTTTTTAAATTACGTATGGGATCACACGGGGGATCGTCGAACCGTCACGGGCGCCGCGCGAATCACGACTGAGGATGCCACCGGCGCGACCTACGACGCCGGTCTACGGTCGCTTCTGCGCGCCTCCATACGAGGGACGCGTCCACGCGCTCGACAACTTCTCCCTCGTGTTTCCTTATGCGCGTCCTTGTCCGTCCTCTGGCCTGTAAATATTGTGTCAAACGAATTAATCTTTCGTGGCGTGAAAGGCGATTTTTTACTGTTTTGATGACCCAAGAAAAAATTGATTATCAATTTTGTTTGAAATTTAAATGAGGAACGAACGTTTCTTTTGTCTTTGGGATTCGAGGAAACGCCGCGAGGCGCACGAAGCGTCCACTGGAGCTGATTTTCTGTCGTTCGAGTTGGTTGGGTTGAGTTCGAAAACGTTTTTGTTGCGATCTTCTGATTTTTATGTATTTTTAGAGCCTCCATTGTTGGAACTGCTGTTCGTTGGTAGAAAAATAAGTAATAAGTAATTTAATTGTATAGTCGTGTTTGGTCCTTGAATTGTCTAGAAGATTGATGTTATTTTTAAAAATGAAATTTGAAGCTTGCTCTGCTAATCGAATATCGATCGAAGTCTCCCATATTGAGTAGGCGAGCAGCTTAAGCGTTGCTCTGGAATGTCTCTATCCCGACACTAATTCACTCGAGGGTGCAACAATTCGAGACACCGTTAAACCAGCGGCTTTAAGGACCGTATCAGATTGATAAGTATGGTCCTCATAGTTGTTGCATTCTACTAGATCTCTAATGATTATGAGGATCGCTAACTTGTCCCTCAAAGGAGCTAGTGTTATTCAGATTTTGGAGCCATCCCCTATGGTTGCACCCTACTATTATCATCTTCCAGGACACTGAATAATATTGGATGGATAGAATTTACTCCAGGCATTCTTTCACAAACCTTCAAACGACTTCAATATTAGTGTAGCCATGCATCCACTATAATAACCACCACGAGAATGATTCATGGCTGCTCGTATAGGCCAAATCTCTAGGGCAACAGTGGCTGTGCAATCGCGGCCACCGTGGCCATATATCGTCGACTCTAACGCATGGAATGCAATCGATTGCCTCATTTGCATAGGATAAATATTAATACGGGTCTATTTCAGTAGCTACTGTTAGATACCAAGACGCCAGCTATTATAGATGCGATCAGATAACTATAAATTAGAGGCCTATATTCGAATATAGTGGTTAGAGCAACATTACAGAGCACAAACGTTCTATAATTTAACCATAACCCTATTTAATTCTTCTCGGAAGTTAAATATAACATATAGTTTTCGATACTACATATTAAAAAAAGAATTCGATGAGAAATGCATATCCCTTCGATCGAGTTCACTGAATCGTTCGAAGTCAACGCCTAATCGAGATTCTCCAAGAGACGTTCCATAATAATACTCTTTTCCGTTGTATTCTGGGTACGTTTCGCGGGTGAAACAACCCTCCGCCGCTTCGGTTCATCCTTCTAGGTGTAATTCTATCCTTCCCTCGAAAGAAGAGCCGAACGTCCTTCCTCGGTTTCTGTCGAGAAGTGTCGAATTCGGTTCGCGTCGTTTAACTCGTAGATGCAAGGTCTCCCCGAGGTCCCCATCCTGTTCTTCTCTAGTTTCTTTCGTCGCACAGCATCACGCGAGTTTTCCGCGTAGCAACGCTCCGTATCGCTTTTCCGACGGGGTCAGGTTAGGTTGGCCGTGGGTTGACCTCTTTGATTTATGGTTCCGTTCGATTTCCCCTCAAACGACGATTTCACCCGGTTGCCTTACTTTAATCTTTCACCTAATATGCCCCGGAAAGAAGGTGGAATTGAAGGTAGAGCGGTGATGGGAGGTTGACGGAATCATTGTTATTTCATAGAGGAAAATCGATACACGGTGGATTCCAGGACATTTCAAGGCCACTTGCCTTCGTCCAAATCGACCCCATTTGTTTTTACGTTAAACAGAAACGTCGTACTATGATATATTGTTACACAAGCACATACTACTATTGTACCACTATACAGGGTGGTCCACGCAATTGTTACAAGTCATAACTCCGTTATTATTGCATTTACGAAAAAATGCCAAAGGAGAAAGATAAATGGTTCGAAGAGCGCTACATCTGTAGGCCTTTAAATTTCTTTTAGATGCAGCAGTGCATGTGCAACTAACAAGTGCATCATTTCTTTAAATAGAAATGCATATTTTTTTTTAGACAGATCGATTCTTCCGTTCATTCTACGTAAAAAATGATTAGGGTACTATGGCAAAAAAATTATTAGATCTCGAGATATTTTCAAAAAATGTCTTTATCGAAGAAGATACTCAAACACTTCGTGACTATGTTGTAAGCCAGCAGGTACGAGAGTGAAGGTTGCAGAAAAAAAATTTTAAAGTTAATTTTTGATTTTGGCAGCAAGTACGAGAGCTGGACACTTTGGGAATCCAATTTTAACCGGAAAAACGGTCTCTTAAAACTAAGGCAATGATTTGGAGAGGAAAAGAAAGGTAAAAATGATGAGAACACATAGAATTCTGTTAAATTATATCATATATTGCCATTGATTTACATTATACAAGGCTTGAATACTTATACATCATGTCAGAAGTTGATAACGAAGGTCAGCAGTGGTAAGCAACGGTCAGCAGAGGCCAGCGGAGGACTGTAGGAAAATTCAAAAGTACATTTAGTCGTACCTTATACTTCAGGTAAAAAGGGGTATAACTAGATAAAACAATTTCATGACATTACCTGCTAACTCAAGTTAGCCACCAGTAAAGGCATGTAGAGATCAGCAGAGGCCAACAGCGTACTATTTTTCCGTGTATCGACAACGGATATACCTTAATTACGAATATCGTTGTACCCCATAAATGGTTTGCCATGGAGTCCAATTAGGGACCTTGAATGGTTTCGAAATACCGCCCGTTCAAAATGATTTCCAGTAATCGAAGACCGGTACCAGGACCAATATGACGGTCATGAGATACTTCCAGCAGAAACCGGATGTATTCTTAATTGGCCCCTCGTAAATATATTCGTCGATTTCGTACAGCCATCGACCGCATTCCTTACTGCATTTTTACGTCCTCTGTTATTTTCTCGGTTCGTTTTACCCGGTAAAGAGAAACGCGTTAATAACCTATTTTTTCGAACAACCTGTTCGATAAAAAAAAATTCTGCTCGACCTTGTCTCGCGATTATTGGCTGGGTCTCTGAACTCGAAACTGACAAATTTCTACCGGGTGTGTTATCGAGGTTGGGTTAGTAAAATCTTCCTTTAGCGGTGTATATTTATTTTGTTATTCAGTCGATACTTCTTTACACTTTTTTGTAAATACGAGTTCTAGGCTGATCCATGCTGGAATGGTCCATTTAGAAGTCGGTCGAAGAGTGTGTGTATAGAAACGGAGGCTCGATCGAGCGCTTGCGAGAAAGACAAGAGCCGAGTCAGCAGAGGCAAGCAGTAGCAAGTAGTAATCGTTATACGTTGTCAGAAGTATCAGGAGTGATCTGCAGTGGTCAACTGAGGTACGCAGAGACCCGTAGAGGGGTCTCGGGGTTCCCGGAAGACCCGTGGCTCCGTCTGACATCTCTGGTCATTAGGAATATACGTATAATGGCGTACGATTTTATTTCAAGACGTGGAACACCTTTGAAAACATCGATAACTGTTGCTTCAAAAGGAATCGTATGTATGTCGACTCTTTATTCTTGGAATTAATAAACGTTCGACCGACGCAAAGCGGCCAATTTGAGTTACCGTTACTTTTTACACGCGAGAATAATTGGCGAACTGTAGTTTTCCATACGAATCGAATAAATTTAATTAAAAGACGAGCTCAGGAATCTGGTTCTCGTGTCTAGTAAAAAGTTATCGATGTTGCGGCGTCCGTTACGCAACAACGGGATCAACGTAGACGTTCCACGGAATTGCTTTCGTCCAATGGAAATGCACGTCGGCTCGTGACGCTCGATCGAACGAATTTGATTAATTTTTAAAAAGGGTACCCGGTTTCTATTTTCTCTTCGCGATCTGCGTAATAGAGTATTACTCGCTGCATCGTTCAGGTGTCTGAATTAGAAACTGAGGCAACGAATTGTTCAAGATGTACAGAGGGATGAAAAAGGAGGGTACCAAAATTAAGGTACATTACTTTCGTTTACAGCAAGTGTTAAATATTCCTATAGTTAGAGCAGGAATTCCAGATATAATTTTCTTAAAATTTGTTTAAATCTTACGTTGTAAATCAAGTACCACAAAAGTTCGAGCACCAAAATTTCGGTGGCTCAAGGACGAAAATCCTTTCGTGCAGAAAGTTTCATACTTCTGGCTCATCAGTATGCAGAGGAACCGCGTCTACTACCGTGAAATGACCGAATGTATTTGCTCAAAACTTTCTACGTTCGAACTTTGCGCCATAAAGTCCGACGTTAGGAGTTATGGGCAGTTCTTTAAGCTCGATCACGCGGTTACGGGTATCGGTTCCAGATACTTTGCATGCAAAACTATCCACCCTTCTACGGAATGGTCTTCGGGGAATAACAACCGTCTCGATAAATCTTTATTTATTTGCTATTTAGACATACGATCACAATTTTTAATACATCAGTTCGAAAAGTCCCGCCACGCGCACATTTCGATCCGAAACCGTGGCCTCGGCTCAAGGAGATCAATACACACCACTGTACAAAAGAGAAATGCGAGAGGTACTTTTAAACGGGTACACCATGGCCCTCGTGACCGAATTTAATCGAATTCAGTCGTCAGTTAAGCGTAAGCAGTCCATTCAGGATTAAAGCACCATGGTTTATCCATAATATCGCCTTCCACGAGTGTTTGGTCCAGAAACCACCTGAAAGGATCGATACAGAACTAAATTACACATTAATCGTCAGGAATGGACACCTTGGGCCCAACTTGTATCACAGTGTTACAGACGAATTTATCAATTACATAGAGAGATATGCAGTATTGAACAGCGCATCAAATGTGTGTTGCAATTTGCGTTAGGGATACTTGCAAAGAAATCACTGTTTATGTTTCTTAAATATATTAGTGAATAATATCAGACAGAAGGGCATGTAATATTGAGGATTCAAAATACCTACAGTATTGCCTCGCTTATTGCATTAATTTGCGTTAGGGATACTTGAAAAGAAATCACTATTTATATTTCTTGAATACATTAATGAATAATATCAGATAGAAAGACATATAATATTGAGAATTCAAAATACCCACAGTACTGCCTCACTTATTGCATTAATTTGCGTTAGGGATACTTGCAAAGAAATCACTATTAATGTTTCTTGAATATATTGATGAATAATATCAGATATAAGGACATATAATATTGAGAATTCAAAATACCCACAGTATTGCCTCGCTTATTGCAACAATTTGCGTTAGGGATACATGCAACAGTTCTCAGAACAGAGCCACTAGCGGCAGTAGTCGTTCGTAACAGAGAATATACATCAGATTGCAGAACAAGGAACATTTTACTAATGTTCCCTAGACTTTTCAATTTACCTTGAAATGGTTCGATACCCCGTAGTACGGAAAGATGCCACCTAAGATGTAGCGATAGTAGCCGTTGTGCCTAACGCGATATTCACCCTGTTTGATGCCCTCCGGGACTTGCCACGTAATGGTCACCTGACTCGAGCCTAGAACCACGGATGTCCTCTTCCACTCGAATCTGTATCATTGATACCAGATGGATATGATTATTCGTCTGTCTGGCGGACCTGATTCTCGATTATCGATCTTATGAATATACATAGGGTTAGATTTAATGGGAATCCGTAACCTCGATTAATGCAACAATTAAGCCCCGATTTGTTAACAATAGCTCATATTTCCGGCAAATTAGTTAGCCTATATTTTCTGTCGAAGCATAACAAGTAACTAGAGAAAATTCCATCTGGATCAGACAAAAATAGGAGTTATGGGAAGATCACAAACACACAGACTTCGAATATCGTATTAATAACATAAGATCAAATTGATCTCAGTGATCAATAATTCGGCGATCTACTGTATAAAACAGTTGATTCGAGACGTTTCACTCTGCATATGCGCTATTATCGCACTAATATAAACCGTACGGCTCAGTTAATTAATTTAATCGTGTTTTTGCTCCTCCGATATTAATGTCCAGCAATATTTGCTCATTTTCCTCGTTCCATGAATCTCTAATGCGATTTCAAAAGAATATTAAACGTTCGATGTCCCGCAGAATATTTACGACAAACATTTGCATTCGTTAATTCAGCATCGAGCGACGGGCTGATATCGTTGCGCACGTGCCGGTGTGTTGGACGATATCGTAAATATAAATTGTAAATAACCGGAACGATTTACGTACTTTGTCTCCCAGCTGGCATCGGTGGCCATCGGGACCCACACTTCGTCGTCCGTCAATCTCTCGATCGTCAGGAACGTTTTCTCTGTCATCATATTGTTACGCGGATGACCAGAGATCTGTCCAAGACAAAATAAATAAACGAATAACAAACAGAGAGTTATCAATCGATCTTCAACGTTTATACTTGTCCATCCATAACGGATAAGTTGTTTAAAGTTTCCATTTTTATTTTCCTCCGCGCAAACCGTGAATCGATTCTTCGTTCTCGTAGCGGAAAATATAAAACATCTCACATCGACGTGATCGTCACTAAAAACGTTTTACCAAACGGCTCGTCGTCGTCGTTGATCGATAATTAATTTCCTAGGAAAATTAATTATCGCTCGATTGCTTTGCTACTAATTTATGCCTCAATGTTCATCGAAGTACAGCACATTTCGAATAGAAATCGTTCGTTTCGCGGTACGTGTCGCTCAATGATTCGCGAAGCACTGCAACGATATTCTCGAAATGGAATTGCGACCCTGTATACAATCCCGATTATGAGACTTTGCGTAACGCTCCTTATACAACGTGCTCGCGAGGACGGGCTGGGTCACGGACGTCCTTTCGTGTGTCCTAACCTAAAATAAAAAGTACCCCGGCCGTACTTACGAAAATCGCTGTGACGATATCCCCGGGCGCGGCGAGTTTCTGAGGTTGTTTGATGCAATCTCCGAAATTCCGACCCCATTTCGGTGTGTCGTAGAGAACTGGCGGCACGAACGTGAGCAGATTCTTCTCCCTGAGGTCAGGTGGCGTGGGTCCAGGATCAACGTGTGATTTCTGAAGCGATAAGAAATTTCCTGTCGGTATAAAATCTCTATGTAGTGTTGGGAGCTGAAAAGAACGGCCCTGAAAGGAACGCGCGCTCTCATTGGCGGGAAAATTCAGGTTACGTGACGCACGTGACCGCAACGCAGCGCCATCTGTTGGCGGGCGTTGAATTTAAACTCCAAGAATGGGTACTTACGAGAATGGCAGCCGTCACGAGCTCCTGGTACATTTTCAGATAAATGGTGAGCGTGTGGGGCCCATAAATGGTGGATGCCCCCTCGTACCTCTGAATCTGGAAAGTTGCGATGAAACAATTTATGTAATTATTGTGTTCTTTTTCGTCTCATATAGTAGCTACCACCGATGAAACCGTTAGCCATTTTAAATCGTCTTTTTAGAGCCGTATTTAATAAAATTTTTACAACTATTAAGTTCGCAACTGTTTAAAGAATAGTGCCAACTGTTTTCAATAAACTCTGATTGCCGATCTAGCGATCCGGTCAGACTTTAGGCGCTTGCATCGACTAATCTAAAGGTTGTAGCAGCCTTAACATAATGTCAAAGAAAAATTCATTTTCATCGATCGTAATGGTTAGAAAATGGATACAAAGCGAGGGGGGGAGTAAGTGTAATTCACGATTTACTTGATACTCCTCCGGTGTGGTGATGTAATCGCTGTAACTATTGCAAAGACCGGCGACTATGACGGAGGTTTCGTCGTTGGACGCGTCGTTCATGACCGTGCTGATAGCCTGTCGCAATCTTCTTCCGGACATTGTTGTGAACTCTCCTGGCACACCGGCGATCACAACGTTCCCGATCAGCGCGACCTGCGTCGCGATAATTTTTGGCTGCCATTCGTACGGTAGAGTCATCTGAAAAATGTCCCCCACATTTATACAGGATACCCCATTCAAAAATTACCAGAATTTTCCAAATAAAGAATAGGATAATTCTCTGGAAAAAGGGGTGGTGACTTAAATGACCTTGACCCTGGAATGTTGCAGAGGGGTAGGTACTGACGCAGCCAGTATAAATAAAATTGGGAATCTTTTGGTCATAAAGGATCACTCAGAATCCTTCCCCCCTGCAACGTGTCGCAAGGTCAAGAGCACTTTTGAAGCTTGCGGAAATTTGCGATCCCAGGGAATTTTTTCTAGGGATATTTACCCGTCCAGTGGCAAGCAAAATCGGTTTCGCGCCATGACACTCGATGTCCTCCGTGGTGGGTACGGCCAGTAAATTTCTAACAGCGTTCCACAGAGGATTCGCCGTGGTGGTGCCCTGCTCGAACGCGAACGAGCCCGGCCCGTCGATCGTTCCCGCTGCAAAACTGTATCCCATGGCTGGCTGACAGCCATGAACCTGGCCAAATCGAGTAGAAATCGATGAACAAAACTGTCCCGCCGCAGACCCGTACGAGGGTTACACTTTAACTTAACTGTCTGGAAGTAACGACATGGTATTCACGGGCTATCCAATTTTAATCTTTCCTCGGTCGTTATCTCTGAATTTAGTGGTTGTTCAACCCCCCGACCATTCAACCCCGAAATTATCCAACGGTCGCAAGGAAAAAATATCCGTCCGGCGAATAATAAATTTATGAAAATAATTCGACGCTCCAAGGATCACTATTTTCGTATCATTTCTACTGCAAATATGTTATATAATAAAAATAATTTTTTTTATGTTGTACTGGTCTTGTTCCAAGGAGTCGACCTTTTTTATCTGGGTCTGAAATCGAGAGAGCGCGTGTCGAAGAAAGTGAATGGCACGACGGGATAAGGTGTGAAAAGGATGATCTATCGAGCTGAATAATAAAAACATACCGTGTGATCGACACTGCAAATACCTATTCAGTTTCAAGATCTGTGTGTAAAATAACGTGGAAAAATAACTTAACTAAATAATAAGTAAGAGATCTTACCTTCTCGGTCTTTTTCGTGGTATCGTTGTAGAATTCGGCCGTTTGTTCCGGCATGTTTACGTAGCGATGAACCACGCGGAGGGGCCCGATCACTTCCTTGGCGTTCCCATCCTGCCACAGCCGCTGCAATCACCGGGCAACGAAACGTGAATATGGAATCGAGTCATATAGCGGGAACAACGCAACGCGGTGTGTACACGATCCGGCCAGGCACGCACGAAACGCATATCCGCCTCTCTAAGCTAGAAACCAATCCTCCGTGTTTCTGCTTTATGATGCTAATATCTACTCTCGAAACTGGAGAACGCTCTTCGCTGACCGCGTCACGGTTAAAGAGCAGGCGAGACGTATGTTAATCAGACCCCTATTCTTGCGCGGTTGTTCAACCGTGGAAAGTAGATGGCGCTTGCGACGGTGCAAATATTACCCCACAGTATTTACAGTGCGATTCTTATTAAGAATTATTAATTTCTATCTATTTAGATTACTTTATTGTAGAGTACACTTAACGAGAGTACGCTATTATAGAGCATACTTGGTTAGAGTGCTCTATCGTAGAGCATATTTGGCTAGAGTACTCCATTATAGAGCTCACTTATCTCTTTAGAGCATATTATTAATGAAAATTTGTTAAGACGTCCTACAAAAGATCGTTAAAATCGATTTGGTACAGTTGGGTTCCTATCCTTGCCAGATACGAGTGTCAGCTTTCTTGCTACGTGACAAAGGGGATGAAGATTAATGAATTGCAATGTGACGTCCAAGGATTTAGGGCTCCCGGGTCTACAAAAGGGAATCTGTAACGAGAAATGGATTATACCACTTCGTTTTTTACAGGGCCTTTTTTCTACGTTTCTTATATCAATTTATCTATTTGCGAGCAGAAAATCGAGGTAAACGGCCGAAATGGAGGAAATCTGTAGCCAAGACTGACAGCTATCGACCAAAATCGAACGTTCTGTCCCTTGACATTAATCGTCGACCGTTTCCTCGATGCAGTACCAACCCCCGTCATTGACGCGAATCGCCGCTATTAATAAAAGCTTCCTTGGTTCGGTGTTCTTGACCGCGTGCGATTGCAGCGCCGATCGTTCGGCCTCGCGCGCCACGCACTACCACGTTTCCATGCGCGCGACCGAGGGAAAGTGGCGGAAGGTAAGGTTGCGTGTGCACGAAGATGCGATCTCTGATAGAGAACGACACGGCATGCATGAAACGAAGACATAGAGTCGCCGCGACAGACAGATGGAATAGGCCAGTGTTTCCCAAAGTAGGGAGGACTCGAGTCCTGCGGAGAGGAAACGCCTTACTGGTCGCTTACAAGTTACTTCACTTTAAAGTCCCCTTATTTTGACACCCAGCCCCCCATGTCACTTGTTCTCATCTTCAAAAACACCTAGGGAGCATAATGCACATTTGAGAACGATTTTTGCAACTTGAGAGGCGCATGTTTCGATTCATGCAACTGTTGTCTACAGCGGCGAAGGATGGCGACGAACGATGCAGTAGTACAGAGTTAAATTGTGCAAGCGACATTCAAGGAGAACGTTTTTTATTATGAAATATATAAAACGAAGCAAGTAAACATGAGTCTGATTGTTCGTGCATACGACACAAGTCAGATTGTGACTGTACCTACAATTAGTGTTAATTGCTCTCAATAAAATGGCGTGCAACCTGACAATGGCGATCTTAGGCGTGTACGCTGCAGTTCATAATTATTCAATCGAGCATATTTGTTCGACGTTGTCACATCCATTGAAGGTGTGGATGATCAAAAGGACACTTGAGCTCTATGGGGCTGAGCTTTATTCAATTTCGTGCCCAAATAATTGTCATTTGTAAAAAATTAAACGGTAGAAAAATGTATATTCGCAGTATGAATTAATTTCATGTTTATCGGTAACAAGAATTTTTTAATTTTTGTTAGTAGCACGAGGATTGCTGTTGCAGTGTCTGCTAAAAGGCATCGATCACCTTGTCTAGCTACAGAGAAGCTCGTAAGTTAATGAATAACTTTGCGCTGCGGTTTGAAATATTGGTAATTGATCGAGAACTACCATAAAGAGAATCTCCCAAAGGCAGGATTAATTTAAGCTGTCGACGAGGTAACAAAGCGAGATTGCAGGTCCTTCATAAAAAAACTCTCGAGTTAATTAAATTGAATTTACAGGTATTCGAAAATTGATAACTTCATTCAAAAGAATGGACTTTGAATCAATCTTTGTATTTTCTTTGCAATCGTAAAAACTAATAATATAAAACTTTGCGTATAGTGTTCGACGAGGAAAGTATAATATGAGATATAACAATAGAATGCTACTTAAACATGAATAGTAAGGGATGATTTAGCGACTTGAATCTGGGGTAAAAATGATTGCTCGAAAGAGGAAACATCCGTGTCTCGATCTCGTGATTTTCTCGTCGAAGGATGCAAGCGCCAAATAAGTTTTCATCATAGGTCCGTCGTTAATTACGCGTACGTATTTACACGCAGTGGTGCATCCATAATGAAGTGGGAGCTGACGAGTCCTTACGTTCACACGCGTTACGGTTATTACGGTAGTATGATTTAAGCCTTCCGTCGATCGACATTGAACCATTTACCGTTCACGGATTCTCCGTACTGCGTTGGATCGAACAGTCACGGTCCTAGGAAAGATTGTTCGTTCATTCAACGAGGCAGAACCTCCGATGACCGAGCAATTCCACTTCTCGACGAGGGTCGTGGATGAAGTATTGATCCAAGGAACGCAAACAGTACAAATGTACGTCATCCATGGGAAGAAATTTAATCGAAGATGATTGGCAAACCGTGGAACGAGAGAGCACAGCAGAAACAGGTAGCACATAAATTTTCGTACTCCAATTTCGAGATAGGAACGATCGAGTAGCGGCTAAACGCCTTTCGCTACCGCGGGACGTGTGAAACCTCTGCCCAGCGTGATTCGCGAGGTCTCCTGGCGGGAAAAAAACAGTCCCCTGCAGTTGTTCGAGGAAGAAAACGACGTCGTCCTTGCGAGCGCCGAGCATGAATCGTGTCTCGTGATTCACAAAGTCTCGGCAGGGTGTGGCGTTTACTGGGAAGCAGTTTAGAAGCAGCCTCCACCGGTTGCACTTTCCCACTCGATCGGCCGGATCGGCTGTCGATGTGGTTTTCATCGGATGTATCGCGTGACGTCTCGGTGATCCTTGCAGAGAGAGATAGAGAGCACTTGGGTTGTTCGAATCGGCTCTGGTACTCTTTCGACATTTTCATACGGTCCCCTGTCCCACTATATCTCTTGGATACCGATTATCGTGCATACGTTGTCATGCACAGGGTGTTCTGCAACGAACAGGGGGTGATTCTAAGTGCAAAAACGAAGAATAACATTTTTTTATACGATTCGGTTACCTATAAATTCTGAATCAGACTTTTAAAGTCTGTGTAATTTAAAAAAGACCAAAGATGTAGTTCACAGCGCCACGTGGGAACAGAAAGCAATATGGCGGCGTATCTATTACGTCGTCAGTTCGATACTTTGACACGTTAATTTGAGAGAACTAAGAGGAATATTTGAGCAACGATACGTAATTTAGAATATGTAATGTTGAATCTAGGCTATCCTAAACTTATTATGCTAATTGAGAAGCTAAAGTTAGCGAAATATTTTGCCTGACAGTGAACGTATCGTCCATAATAATAATGCTGACCTTCGATTACTTCGTCTACTTCCACCCAGTCGCGAATCTAATATCTAATTTCCCCGGGTCCCGTTTCATCTGATCTGATTCAGCAGAAATTAACCCATAACAAATTGCCAGCGTCTGGATTATAACGACGCACGTATACGACGCGTCGTCTGGCTCGCGGGCAAAAGATTTTCATGCGCGGAAGCAGAATCGTGTCTCTCGAGATCCGAGATAAGCGACATAATGAGGCGAGATAGTAAGCGATTGCAAAGTCCTGCTTCAACATACGTGGGAACAGGAACGTGTAAACACGTGGATCGCCATGCCGGTTCGGCTCGTTCCATTTTTTCCTCGCTCACTCTATCTTGTCCTACCTGCCTCTGTTCGTACTGTGTCCTATCCTTCGATTCCGTGTCTCCACATTCGTCCCCCCCTCGACTACACACGAGCGTTAATCGACCCTTGCTCATGGGCTACGAGGTGTTCTTTCATCGTGGGATCAAATTGGCCGCGGCAATTAGAACTCCTTGGGGTAATCACGGCGATGTCGTATCGGGCTAAAGCTTGACGCATCCAAGTGGGAAATTAGACTACGATACCGAGGAACTATCAGGATAATCGACGTTCTGTATGGCCAACCTCGATAGACGTCACTTTCAAAGATGCAATCGTTATAAGTACAAATTCTCTAGATATCATAGGTGTCTCAATAGAGGCTGCACGTAGAGAAGCAATATAAATGTATAGATTTAGTCTCGGCAGGTTTATTCTATCGAGAAACCATCGTTATGCATCCTTAATAAATACTACAACTATAAAAGTATCCTGCAATTACTACGAATTAAATTTTGACATACGCTGTATCGACAAATACGAACTCTATGGAAGGTATATTTGTGGATCTAACCCTCGATGGATGCTATATTTGTATAGATTAAACCACTATAGTTCAAGTGTTGCTCTATGCTATCTCTAGTAGTACTATCATAAATCACTATAAACGACACCTCGATAGAGCTTACATCTATAGATGCGACTATAAACAAAATCTTGATAGAGCCTGCATTTATAGAGGCAATAATTGTTGTACGACCTTTAATCGACGTTGCATTAAGATATTAAATATTAATTATAAATAACCAAGTGGAATAAGTTAGTCTATTTCGTCTAGAGAATTATCGCGATGGTGCAAGCTGCTATTACTCGGAAACAAGATTATACACGACCTTTGACTTCGTACAAACTTTCTTCGCCGCTTCTCTGTGTTTAGTTCATGCCCGACGGTCACGCCCACGTTTCATCAAGCGGTACACAGACGAAACGACCGCAAAAGGGAAGTAATCTTCAGAATCTCGTACATCTCAATTTTCTCCGCCATCCGTGAAACCAGCCCTGTCGCAACGCTCGATTTTAAGGTGCCCGCGCATGAATCACCAGGAAGTTGCGAG